TAATAGTGTTTAACATAATTTTTTATGACTACCTCATCTCTGTACCCCACACATACAATTATCTGTAAGGTCCCTCAGTCGAGCAGTGAATTACAAACCCAGATTCAACCACAAAGACCAGGGAGGTTTTCCAATGCCTCGCAAAGAAGGGCACCAATTGGTAGATTGCTAAAAATAAAAAGCAGACATTGAATATCATGGAGCATGGTGAAGTTATTAATTACACCTTGGATGGTGTATCAATACACCCAGTCATTACAAAGATACAGGCGGTCCTCCTAACTCAGTTGCCGGAGAGGAAGGACATCGCTCAGGGATTTTACCATGAGGCCAATGGTGTTTTTAAACAGTTACAGAGTTTAATGGCTGTGATAAGAGAAAACTGAGGATGGATCAACATTGTAGTTACTCCACATTACTAACCTAATTGACAGAGTGAAAAGAAGGAAGTCTGTACAGCAGTGGTCACCAACCTTTTCTGAGTAAAGATCACTTCCATAGTCAAAAAAGCAAGCCGAGATCTACCGCTCAGATTTGTTTTAAAACATGACTTAAAAAAGGTAAAAACCTAATAAAAACAGTTCTGTAGGAATGAGGTTTGTGCAGTAGGCAGGCCTAACACATTATTGCAGCATATTGGCTATATGCCTGGCCTTTCAATATTGTTCTTCTCAGACCATATTATACTTCAAAACTTGAGCTTAGATAACAAAATAGATCAGTTGGTGTAGCACCTGCGAGGCAGAGCCGAGTATAAATTGAAATAATTCGCTTTTTTATTTTACTGGACTGATGGTAAACTACATGTGGACACCCTCTCAAATTAGTGGATATGGTTATTTCAGCCACATTCGTTGCTGACAGGTGTATAAAATCGAGCACACAGCCATACAATCTCCAAAGAGGTAAAACAAAATAGGTAAAATCGTGACGTCTGCGATGTTCAGGTCGGAAACTCGGGGCTCTAGAAAGATGCCAAAGTTTCCGATTTGGAATTCCGAGTTGGATGACCCTTCAAAAAAAAAATTTCCCAGTCGGATCTCGTTTTTTTCCAGAGTTCCCAGTTGTCTTGTACGCACTGAAGTTGGTAATGTCAGTTTCCATTTGTTTTGAACACAGCCTTAGTCTCAGCGGAGGGAGGGAGAGAGCAGCAGAGGGTCAGCCTCTCGCGGTCACTGCTTTCTCCTTCCTTTCCTCTGGTGAGACTGACCAGAGAGAGGGGACACAGTCTTCCACCTGATTGCAAAACTCAAGTTGCACGGCATCCGCCTCAAGCACAAATTAATGTTGTTCCTATGACCAGAGAAAGTGAAATACTCCTACGATAAAATAGACACGACGAGCTGCTAATAATAACAAAAACGCAGGGCTACTCATTCATTGCAGCTGCAGCGCAAGTGGGAGTAGGTATTTCATGTTTTGTAATAGTGTTGAATAAAAACAGTTTTGACAGTGCTGAATAAAAGATTTAACATGAACTCATTAATAAAAACAGCAGCTCTTTGCTGTATTCTTTGACAGTCTCTCTGGTCATGGTTATAAAAGTTATGAAATCTCACGTAGGCTAGTATCAAACTTGTAGGCACTGTGATTTGAGCTATCCGATTGGCCAGCACAGTAGGCGCACTCGATTTAGCCACAGATCTCCCGGTCCGCCGGGTAGGTGGAGTTTGTCATTTCAGACTTCGGAATCAAATGCACCTACCACCAACAGCCCAAAAAATATATATAAATCGACCGGTTGGTGACCACTCCTGTACAATATTCCAAAACATGCATCCTGTTTGCAACAAGACACTAAAGTAATACTGCAAAAATAATTTGTCTGAGCAATTAACTTTTTGTCCTGAATACAAAGTGTTATGTTTGGGGCAAATCCAATTCATTACTGACCACTACTCTCCATATTTTCAAGCTTAGTGGTGGCTGCATTATGTAATGGGTATGCCTGTAATCGTTAAGGACTGGGGAGTTTTTCAGGATAAAAAAACCCGGGAATGGAACGAAGCACAGGCAAAATCCTAGAGGAAAACCTGGTTCAGTCTGCTTTCCACTGGACACTGGGAGAGGAATTCACCTTCCAGCAGGACAATAACCTAAAACACAAGGCCAAATCTACACTGGAGTTGCTTACTAAGAAGACAGTGAATGTTCCTTAGTGGCTGAGTTACAGTTTTGACTTAAATCTACTTTCTGAAGACACTGTACCTGCTGGCTCTGTGCTTGCTGTGATAATCACACACATTTTTTTCTACTTTTGCTCAGGGCCATTTACAGTGCATTCAGAAAGTATTCAGACGCTTTCTCCACATTCTGTTAGGCTACAGCCTTATTCTAAAATTGATGAAAATCATTTTTTCCCCTCACCAATCTACACACAATACTCCATAACGACAAAGCAAAATAGGTTTTTATCATTTTTTAGAAAACAGAAATACCTTATTTACATAAGTATTGAGACCCTTTGCTATGAGACTCGAAATTGAGCTCAGGTGCATCCTGTTTCCATTGATCATCTTTGAGATGTTTCTACAACTTGATTGGAGTCCACCTGTGGTAAATTCAATTGATTGGAAATGATTTGGAAAGGCACAGACCTGTTTATATAAGGTCCCACAGTTGAAATTGTCATTAGAGCTCCGAGACAGGATTGTGTCGAAGCACAGATCTGAGGAAGGGTACCAAAAAATTACTGCAACATTGAAGGTCCCCAAGAACACAGTGGCCTCCATCATTCTTAAATGGAAGAAGTTTGGAATCACCAAGACTCTTCCTAAAGGTGGCCACCCGGCCAAACTCAGCAATCGGGGGAGAAGGGCCTTGGTCACGGAGGTGACCAAGAACCCGATGGTCACTCTGACAGAGCTCCAGAGTTCCTCTGTGGTGATGGCAAAACCTTCCAGAAGGACAACCATCTCCGCAGCACTCCACCAATCAGGCCTTTATGGTAGAGTGGCCAGACGGAAGCCACTCCTCAGTAAAAGGCACATGACAGCCCACTTGGAGTTTGCCAAAAGGCACCTAAAGGACTCTCAGACCATGAGAAACAAGATTCTCTGGTCTGATGAAACCAATACGGAACTCTTTGGCCTAAATGCAAAGCGTCACGTCTGGAGGAAACCTGGCACCATTCCTACGGTGAAGCATCGTGGTGGCAGCATCATGCTGTGGGGATGTTTTTCAGCGGCGGGGACTGGGAGACTAGTCAGGATCGAGGGAAAGATAAACGGAGAAAAGTACAGAGAGAACTTTGATGAAAACCTGCTCCAGAGCGCTCAGGGCCTGAGACTGGGGGCGAAGGTTCACCTTCCAACAGGACAACGACCCTAAGCACATAGCCAAGACAACATTCTCTGAATGTCCTTGAGTGGCCCAGCCAGAGCCCAGACTTAACCTTATCGAACAACACTGGAGATACCTGAAAATAGCTGAGACAGGGAGGGAGAGAGGTGGACAGACACTGTGTTAATTAGCTAGTCCACCCATCAGACTGAGTAAGGACTGCTGTGTGCGTGTTCACCTAAAGCAGACTGCAGAGAACACAGTCTGAGGTCCACAATGCACTTTAGTACACGGTCCCATGTAGCTCAGTTGGTAGAGCATGGCGCTTGCAATGCCAGGGTTGTGGGTTCGATTCCCACGGGGGGCCAGTATGAAAATTTATGCACTCACTAACTGTAAGTCGCTCTGGATAAGAGCGTATGCTAAATGACTAAAATGTAAAGCTGTCTAATACAGCAACTAATGACATGTCAACAGGATAGACTTTTAAATACTTACATTTCTCAGAGCTTAATGTACACAGATCTTGATCTTATATTGTTCAGAAGAGATACAGATCTGGGACTGACTATTGTCTATAAATCCAGGTTGTTTTCTGCCAATCACAGTGCTTATAGAGCCAACATCTAAAGAGGTGTAAATCAGTACCTTAGATTGACTGGCCATCAGAGGACGCATCACCTCTTTAAAACGTGTTAATTACATTCACTCGTCAACTATTTGTTATGCAAATAGTTGTTTGAACCCACCGCAATGATGTTTGAACCCATTAACCTCTTGGCAACAAACTAAAACACCTCCTGGTAAAGCTTTACTTAAAGCATCCAGCTATAATGCTTTATAATGTGTTAAAATCATGTATGAGCTTTTATAATGTCTTATAACAAGATAAATAATATGTTATGTATCTCTTTGTTTCAACATTTCAACAGATTGAAACTCGCTGGTATTAGTCAGGATCATTACGAGATGATCATAAGGGGGTTAAGACATGGGTATGACAAGTCTAACAATGCATTATAACTGCATCATAATACCCCATACATAAATGCCTCCTCTGTATGGCTTCTTTTCCAGACAGGTTGCGGCACTTATTACCATACAGTGAGCGGACGTTGCCACCCTTAGTGTATCACAGTACTAAAACCCTAGGGGAGAGAAAGATCAGAGTAGCAGTCAATAGTTTCTGAGAAGTGCACTGTAGCTTTATAACCAAGTCTAAGAAGAGAAAGGGAATGGAAGAGAGGAGAGGGGAGATTGTGATGCTGGGCAGTGGGGAAGAGAGGCTCAGTCATGTTTTGGGGTGTTTTTCTCTCACTCTTTTTTTTGGCTGAGTCTGCTGCAGAGGCTGAGGATTCACAGTCAGACTGGAACACATTTATACATTTAGTCATTTAGCAGATGCTCTTATCCAGAGCAACTTATAGGAGCAATTGGGGTTAAGTACCTTGCTCAAGGGCACATCGGCAGATTTTTCCTGTGTCTGGCTGCTGAGGACGAGGAACGCACACCTTGAGATGCTACGGCTACTGCATACACTGCCAGGACAAACTGTGTGTTTGTGCGAGTGTGTGTGTACTCATAACAGACATGCTACACATGTAAAACAGCCAGTACTTTTCAAATGGTTATGACAGCAAGGAGTCTGAATTCAACGTTCCAACACTGTTTTCACATTCAACACAGATGAGGTTCAAATATAAAATCCTGACTCATCATTGCATCACCAGTACCTTGGTGATAAAATAGACACACCGTTCTATCATGCAACACAGAGGTGTTGAGGTGAAGACCTGTGTAGAGCATGGAGGAGGTAGCTAACTAAGTACCCACCTTGATCATCTGGGCCACGTAGCTCTCTGGGCCGGTGTACTCCGTGGGGTCCTTCACCCTCACCAGAACCAGGAAGTACAGGTAGTGCCACATGTTGTGTTCCGACGTGATGTGCTCCTCAAAGGACACCGTCTTGTTGTCAAACTTATCCCTCTCCAACCCTGAACGAGGAGAAACAGTACTTATACACTGATACACCAATTCACTTTACCTTTGTTATATCCTGCAGTTTCTTTGGCATTCTTAATTATATTTTAGAGCCTCTCTATTAGGGGTGTGCTGAGTACTCGGACAAAACAAGTATCGTAACGGATATGGAGAACTTTCCGAATACAATTATGTCAAGTATTTTTTGTAATTATCCGTGATTTGAAAAAAGTAAATTTTCAGCTGACAGCTCAAACAGTGTGAAGTGCTGTGTGCTCTAAACAACTATTGGGTAATTATTCTGTCTGTAAAGAAACGGGCGGCTATTATTTATTCTCGCCCAGGCATTTTTACAGAGCGACAGATCATTACAAAATAAAATGACAAATGTAGATAGTTTATTTTGATTGTACAAATGTTGTGGCATAAGTGTCGGGAGAGAAAAGTTTTGCTCCTCACAAAAGTGAAACAATATATGGTCATTACCTCAACTACCTCAACTAGCCGGTGCCCCCGCACATTGACTCTGCAACGGTACCCCCCTGTATATATAGCCTCCCTACTGTCACTTTATTTTACTTCTGCTCTTTTTTCTCTCAACACTTTTTTTGTTGTTGTTTTATTTTTACTTTTTTTGTAAAAAATAAATGCACTGTTGGTTAAGTAAACATTTCACTGTAATGTCTGCACCTGTTGTATTCGGCGCATGTGACCAATAAAATTTGATTTGATTTGATTTGATATGGGGCACGTTAGCCTACATTCATCTAAATCTGTGTCTAGAATAAATGCAGGCAGTAGTAGCCAGCCATGCATTAGGCTATACATATTAGCCTATTTCATTGATCATTGAATAGGAATAAGTAAGTTAATCATGTGCATTTTCACTTGTCGGGGTTGTTTAATAATGTGTGTGAATGAGCGAAGGAACATAACAATGCTCTCTGAGTGATAGCGCAGTAATGCGCACTTGAGGTATAGGCTTTAAAACGCACTTCCGGATTTTCCCATCACGAGTAAATCCAAGTGCGAGTATTAAGTGTGATAAAACGGATCCGATTATGAATACAAGTATGAGGAGATCGTCACACCCCTACTCTCTATACTGTCTTGTTGTATATCTACAGCACATACTTCATAGTATTGTTCGATATGTACAGGCAGCAAGCACAAAATAAAATTTGATTTCATTCTAACATTGCAAGACAGTAGAGTGAGTATTGCTATTAAAGTTGCAAGAAATGTACCGTAGAACGTCGCCATTTACTGAATTTGCATCAGGACGATACAAATACCCACACATATTTCGCGCTGAAGGGTAACAAATAATGCGACAGAATTGTACAATATGTAGTGGGGAGAACAAGTATTTGATACACTGCTGATTTTGCAGGTTTTCCTACTTACAAAGCATGTAGAGGTCTGTCATTTTTATCATAGGTACACTTCAACTGTGAGAGACGGAATCTAAAACAAAAATCCAGAAAATCACATTGTATGATTTTTAAGTAATTTATTTGCATTTTATTGCATGACATAAGTATTTGATCACCTACCAACCAGTAAGAATTCCGGCTCTCACAGACCTGTTAGTTTTTCTTTAAGAAGCCCTCCTGTCCTCCACTCATTACCTGTATTAACTGCACCTTTTTTAACCTGTTACCTGTATAAAAAGACACCTGTCCACACACTCAATCAAACAGACTCCAACCTCTCCACAATGGCCAAGACCAGAGAGCTGTGTAAGGACATCAGGGATAAAATTGTAGACCTGCACAAGGCTGGGATGGGCAACAGGACAATAGGCAAGCAGCTTGGTGAGAAGGCAACAACTGTTGGCGCAATTATTAGAAAATGGAAGAAGTTCAAGATGACGGTCAATCACCCTCGGTCTGGGGCTCCATGCAAGATCTCACCTCGTGGGGCATCAATGATCATGAGGAAGGTGAAGGATCAGCCCAGAACTACACGGCAGGACCTGGTCAATGACCTGAAGAGAGCTGGGACCACAGTCTCAAAGAAAACCATTAGTAACACACTACGCCGTCATGGATTAAAATCCTGCAGGTCCCCCTGCTCAAGCCAGCGCATGTCTAGGCCCTTCTGAAGTTTGCCAATGACCATCTGGATGATCCAGAGGAGGAATGGGAGAAGGTCATGTGGTCTGATGAGATAAAAATAGAGATTTTTGGTCTAAACTCCACTCGCCGTGTTTGGAGGAAGAAGAAGGATGAGTACTACCCCAAGAACACCATCCCAACCGTGAAGCATGGAGGTGGAAACATCATTCTTTGGGGATGCTTTTATGCAAAGGGGACAGGATGACTGCACCGTATTGAGGGGACGATGGATGTGGCCATGTATCGCGAGATCTTGGCCAACAACCTCCTTCCCTCAGTAAGAGCATTGAAGATGGGTCGTGGCATGATCTTCCAGCATGACAACGACCCGAAACACACAGCCAGGGCAACTAAGGAGTGGCTCCGTAAGAAGCATCTCAAGGTCCTGGAGTGGCCTAGCCAGTCTCCAGACCTGAACCCAATAGAAAATCTTTGGAGGGAGCTGAAAGTCCGTATTGCCCAGCGACAGCCCCGAAACCTGAAGGATCTGGAGAAGGTCTGTATGGAGGAGTGGGCCAAATTCCCTGCTGCAGTGTGTGCAAACCTGGTCAAGACCTACAGGAAACGTATGATCTCTGTAATTGCAAACAAAGGTTTCTGTACCAAATATTAAGTTCTGCTTTTCTGATGTATCAAATACTTATGTCATGCAATACAATGCACATGAATTACTTAAAAATCATACAATGTGATTTTCTGATTTTCTGGATTCTCTCACAGTTGAAGTGTACCTATGATAAAAATGACAGACCTCTACATGCTTTGTAAGTAGGAAAACCTGCAAAATCAGCAGTGTATCAAATACTTGTTCTCCCCACTGTATTTTCCTGCTATGTAGTTCCATGTACTATTATGTAGTGCTATGTAGTGCTGTGTAGTGTTATGTGGTGCTCTGTAGTGTTCTATGTAGTGCTACATAGAGTTATGTAGTGCTGTGTAGGGCTGTGAACCCACCACAGATGAAGCAGGTGGTCTTCAGTATCTCCTCCTTCCTCTGCTTCTCGCTCCTCAGGTCGGCGAACGTATCGATGATGACGCCGAAGATAAGGTTGAGGACGATGATGATGACGATGAAGAAGAACAGCAGGTCATACACCACACGGGCCACAAACAGAGGATCCTGGGTAACGAGTGGACCGGCGAGGAACAATGAGAGAGTGATCCTCAGCATCAAAGTATCATCACTATCCACATCATCATCGTCATCCCAATTAATACCATCATTATAATTATAATCATCACCACCAGCATCATAATGAAAAAGAGTTAGCCTTTTGTTTTCTATATTTTTTGTTAAAAAAAAAAAGTATATTCACCCCCCCCCCCCCCCCCCCCCCCCATCCATCAATTACTGACTGACTGGTTCATTGATCAACTGATTGATTGATTGGACCAGGTCACTTACGTCTTTGGAGGGCTTCCTCAGCACGTCTCCCACTCCCCCTCCGTTCCTCAGGCCCTGGTTCAGCACCGTCACGATACACATCAGCAGAGTGTCACACACACGCTCTGTTCCATCGTCCTCCCCCGCCATCACTGGACACACACATCAAAACAACATACATATGTGGAGAGTGTGTGTGTGAGACGCAGCAGAGCAGGCCATTTCCCTCTCCTGCTATTCAATACTGTGCGTTACGTAACTAATGATAGATGTACACATCAAAAGGTGGCAATGTCTTAAATCTACCTGACAATGAGTGGAAAGTGACAATTCAAAAACATCCAGGCAATTTCTTTACCAGTACGTCTATATCGGATTCAGGTTGAAATCCCCTCACAATAGTAGATGTGGGACTTCAACAAAAGCTTGTGCTCACAACACTGGATGAAAGAGTTGGAACACTGAAACATGGGATGATGTGACTCCTCTACGTGACAGAAAAAAATATAAAGAAAAGAGGGGAGGAGGGTTGTAACGAAAACAGCGAGAGAGAGATTGAGAGGGTGAGAAAATAGCCAGAAAAGGAGGGATAGAGATAGAGAGGAGCCGGTGAGGTCACGTGTAGAGGCCCCTGTAGTGCAGGTGATCCATAGACACACACTGGACTAGAGAACATAGATGAGTCATCCACTTTCTCCCTCTCCAGGATTACTGAACACTAAGGACTGAGAACTGCCTCAACTAGCTATGGTCTGAAAGTGCTGAAAGAGCAGTGGACCGGATTCGAACCAATACTGGCAGCGCAGGGTTTCCATTAGGAAAATGTGGCGCCGGACATTTGACCGGTAGCATTTGAATTTACCGGACCCATATGCATTGGTTGCGTAACCTGATTAGGGCGTCCACCCACGGTTCTCAAAATGACAGAAATCACATTTAGTTTATGGTAATGCTCCTTAACAGAACATACAACTCGGATGCAACGGCTTGCATCATTCTTAATGAATTTCGATAAGCAATTTGAAGGTGTTAGAATACATAGGTGGCTCCTCCATAAGGCTAGGGGAAGCTTTCCCTTAAGTAAATGAAATTAAATTGCCAAAATTATATAGCCTAATTAGCTTACTCCTGTCTATATAGAAATAAATCAAATCAGTCAAAATAGGCTACTACACCAGAAAGCATGAGTTGGCCACACAGGAGCATTAGCTTAACAAAAAAACCTGTGGATTGTTTTAACTCGCATAGACTATAGTCAGAAGGGCCCACAATTTTAATAATAATAATAATAATAATAATAATAAGCCATTTAGCAGACGCTTTTATCCAAAGCGACTTACAGTCATGCGTGCATACATTTTTGTGTATGGGTGATCCCGGGGATCGAACCCACTACCTTGGCGTTACAAGCGTTACAAGCGCCGTGCTCTACCAGCTGAGCTACAGAGGACCACCATTTTAGCAGAGCTTGCGGCAAAAACCAAATAGATGATTGTTGAGTTACGACTCAGTGAAAAGCAGAGAGCCAGGCATATCGCAATATTTAAAAATACAAATCTCGAAAAAACAGTTTGGACTCCAATCTGTATTTTAATTATCAAGATTCTTAACTTAATTGAGCGAAAAGTAGTATCTTATTGGCTGGCACCAGCGGAGAACATCGGCCATATCCCTGGTGAGTGCGCATATTCACTGTCTTTATCTTTGGATCTGTGCCACTTTTGTTTGTTTTTGGACAATAATTTCCTCCTCCAGGTTATATGGACGTCATATTGTATGTGTCTTCCCTTTTCGTAGTCCTAATATACAGATAAGACAACGTCGTTTTTATTGATCTGTTTGTCAGTGTCAGAAGAGTAGGCTACCCTGTCATTTTTGTCGTATTAAGAAATATTCTGCTAATGTCTCCAGTCATATAAAGTGTAGTAGAATTGTATGAAATGTGTTTATAAAAGGCCAACATTTTCCTCTGCAAAAAAAAGGAGAAGAAATTAAGGCTATCTGATATAGCCTAGGCCTACCCTAAGCCACTACGACTATCCAATTTAATCATCACATTAGGAATAGTAGACTATCTTACATAAGTCTGCAAATGCGAGGATGCATGGAATGCCTGCCATTATAAACTTGCATTTTTATGGTGAAAATGAGCTTAGCCAAACTTGAAACCCACACGCCGCCTATGTTAGAATAACTGCCCACATTTACTTTTCCTCAGCCAACAAGACGAGTAACGAACAGCAACATCAATAGCCTATGTCAATCTACTATCCCCCAAAGTAGAAAAGTTGACCTATTCTATTGGTCAGCTTGTCGTTTGGTGCAAGAAAGAAATAGCCTATTCCAAACAGACAGTTGTGGGATGATAGATCCAACCAGTAGGCCTAGGCTACAGCCAATTATAAGCGCAGCAATGCACAAGGCAGTAGGCTACGTGCGAATGTTAGTTCCATAACGCAATTAGTGGGAAAACACCATTGTGAAATTTAGAAAGAGGGGAGATTTTAATACGCAACAACTAGCATGGGTTGCTAATCTAACTAGCATGGATTGTGCCTTTGGCTACTGGACAATGAAAGAAAGTTGATTTGAAAACCAATAGAACATGAGAGAAAAAGGCTATTGGTTTCAATGCCATATGGAAGTCTTTATAAAATAACTGCCTGAACGTTTGGTTGGATTTTGCCTAGGCTACTTTGAAGCAAGGTAAGACATGCCTCACAATATGTAGCAAGACGCTCAGGTTTCAAACAAGTAAGGATATGTTTTCAAAACGCATACTGCCTCCAGCTCGTTGCAAAGTGGTGTGTGACGCGGTGTAGCCTGCCTAGTTACCTATGCACTTGAATGGCAAACGGGAAGCACACTTCAATTACCAGCTGAGAAATAAAAAGTCATTTTAAATCGTGGCCATTGTTTTTTTTTATGCAATTGCCTTTAGAATTGTTGCGCAATGATTGGTCTTATTAAAGCACGTTTCACTACAGCAGCAGCTGTATCGGCAGCTCTCACGCTGTATCGGCAGCTCTCACGCTGTATCGGCAGCTCTCACGCTGTATCGGCAGCTCTCACACTATCAGCAGCTCTCACGCTGTATCAGCAGCTCTCACGCTGTATCGGCAGCTCTCACGCTGTATCGGCAGCTCTCACGCTGTATCGGCAGCTCTCACACTATCAGCAGCTCTCACGCTGTATCAGCAGCTCTCACACTATCAGCAGCTCTCACGCTGTATCAGCAGCTCTCACGCTGTATCGGCAGCTCTCACGCTGTATCGGCAGCTCTCACGCTGTATCGGCAGCTCTCACACTATCAGCAGCTCTCACGCTGTATCAGCAGCTCTCACGCTGCATCGACTGGTATTTCAACCAATGAAGGCTAAAAAGCATTATTTTGCAATGGGATTTTTTTTAAAACTAGCAGACAGAACAATAAAAACACACCCCAGCCCAGCCGGTTACATAAGAGCGCCGCTCTGTGCTGCGCTGCATGGCCACCGCGCCAGATTATGCAACAGGTGCACATGTGCTGGCAAGTTGTCTCTCCCTGACTGCCCGAATGCTGTGCAAGAGGACGCCCACACTCTTGTATGCATGCACTCCCGCTCTGGAAAGCTCACACACATTGCCTAATGGGGAAGTGTGCAACGACACAGGCTATTAATGTTCCACGCACAGATGCATGAACGTATAAGCGTGCACGCACACACAGTCAGTGAACCGAGACAGAGGTTTATCTTAAATCTATAGTCTTGTAAACAATGTTTAGTAAAATAGTGTTTACTAGTCATTACACATAGCTGTTGTGACACAAAGCAAAAAGTCCATCCTACTGCTCAAAGTCTATATTCCTGTCAGTTCCATCTGACAACACTAAAATCTATTCTGTTTACTCTCCAGCCCTATTTCACTATTGATAAGCAGAGAGTCTGTGAAGCGAGAACAGCGGGTAATGATGAAAGGAACCAGCACTCATTTCTGTCATCATGAAGTGTTTTGAGAGGCTAGTTAAGGATCATATAACCTCTACTTTACCTGACACCCTAGACCCACTTTAATTTGCTTACCGCCCCAATAGATCCACAGACGACGCCATCGCACTGCCCTATCCCATCTGGACAAGAGGAATACCTATGTAAGAATGCTGTTCATTGACTATAGCTCAGCATTCAACACCATAGTACCCTCCAAGCTCATCATTAAGCTTGGCTCCCTGGGTCTGAACCCCGCCCTGTACAACTGGGTCCTGGACTTCCTGACAGGCCGCTCCCAGGTGGTGAAGGTTGGAAACAACACTTCCACTTCGCTGATCCTCAACACAGGGGCCCCACAAGGGTGTGTGCTCAGCCCACTCCTGTACTCCCTGTTCACCCATGACTGCGTGGCCACGCACGCCTCCAACTCAATCATCAAGTTTGCAGACGACACACAGTAGTAGGCCTGATTACCAACAATGACGAGACAGCCTACAGAGAGGAGGTGACAGCCTTGGGAGTGTGATGCCAGGAAAATAAAACAAAACAAAGGAGATGATCGTGGACTTCAGGATACAACGGAGGGAACACGGCCCTATCCACATCGACGTGACCGCTGTGGAGCAGGTGGAAAGCATCAAGTTCCTTGGTGTACACATCCCAACAGTGCCTCTTCAACCTCAGGAGGCTGAAGAAATGTGGCTTGGTACCTAAAACCCTCACAAACTTTTACAGATGCACAATTGAGAGCATACTGTCGGGCTGTATCACTGCCTGGTACGGCAACTGCACCGCCCGCAACCACAGGGCTCTCTAGTGGGTGGTGCGGTCTGCCCAACGCATCACCGGGAGCAAATTACCTGCCCTCCAGGGCACCTACAGCACCCGATGTCACAAGAAGGCCAAAAAGATCATCAAGGACAACAACCACCTGAGCCACTGCCTGTTCAACCCGCTATCATCCAGAAGGCGAGGTCAGTACAAGTGCATCAAAGCTGGGACTGAGAGACTGAAAAACAGCTTCTATCTCAAGGCCATCAGACTGTTAAATAGCCATCACTAGGCGGCTTCCATCCGATTACATAACCCTGCATCTTAGAGGCTGCTGCCCCATATACAGTGGGGAGAACAAGTATTTGATACACTGCCGATTTTGCAGGTTTTCCTACTTACAAAGCATGTAGAGGTCTGTAATTTTTATCATACGTACACTTCAACTGTGAGAGACGGAATGCAAAACAAAAATCCAGAAATCACATTGTATGATTTTTAAGTAATTAATTTGCATTTTATTGCATGACATAAGTATTTGATACATCAGAAAAGCAGAACTTAATATTTGGTACAGAAACCTTTCATTGCAATTACAGAGATCATACGTTTCCTGTAGGTCTTGACCAGGTTTGCACACACTGCAGCAGCGATTTTGGCCCACTCCTCCATACAGACCTTCTCCAGATCCTTCAGGTTTTGGGGCTGTCGCTGGGCAATACGGACTTTCAGCTCCCTCCAAAGATTTTCTATTGGGTTCAGGTCTGGAGACTGGCTAGGCCACTCCAGGACCTTGAGATGCTTCTTACGGAGCCACTCCTTAGTTGCCCTGGCTGTGTGTTTCGGGTCGTTGTCATGCTGGAAGATCCAGCCACGACCCATCTTCAATGCTCTTACTGAGGGAAGGAGGTTGTTGGCCAAGATCTCGCGATACATGGCCCCATCCATCCTCCCCTCAATATGGTGCAGTCGTCCTGTCCCCTTTTCAGAAAAGCATCCCCAAAGAATGATGTTTCCACCTCTATGCTTCACGGTTGGGATGGTGTTCTTGGGGTTGTACTCATCCTTCTTCTTCCTCCAAACACGGCGAGTGGAGTTTAGACCAAAAAGCTCAATTTTTGTCTCATCAGACCTTCTCCCATTCCTCCTCTGGATCATCCAGATGGTCATTGGCAAACTTCAGACGGGCCTGGACATGCGCTGGCTTGAGCAGGGGGACCTTGCGTGCGCTGCAGGATTTTAATCCATGACGGCGTAGTGTGTTACTAATGGTTTTCTTTGAGACTGTAGTCCCAGCTCTCTTCAGGTCATTGACCAGGTCCTGCCGTGTAGTTCTGGGCTGATCCCTCACCTTCCTCATGATCATTGATGCCCCACGAGGTGAGATCTTGCATGGAGCCCCAGACCGAGGGTGATTGACCGTCATCTTGAACTTCTTACATTTTCTAATAATTGCGTCAACAGTTGTTGCCTTCTCACCAAGCTGCTTGCCTATTGTCCTGTAGCCCATCCCAGCCTTGTGCAGGTCTACAATTTTATCCCTGATGTCCTTACACAGCTCTCTGATCTTGGCCATTGTGGAGAGGTTGGAGTCTGTTTGATTGAGTGTGTGGACAAGTGTCTTTTATACAGGTAACGAGTTCAAACAGGTGCAGTTAATACAGGTAATGAGTGGAGAACAGGAGGGCTTCTTAAAGAAAAGCTAACAGGTCTGTGATAGCCGGAATTCTTACTGGTTGGTAGGTGATCAAATACTTATGTCATGCAATAAAATGCAAATTAATTACTTAAAAATCATACAATGTGATTTTCTGGATTTTTGTTTTAGATTCCGTCTCTCACAGTTGAAGTGTACCTATGATAAAAATTACAGACCTCTACATGCTTTGTAAGTAGGAAAACTTGCAAAATCGGCAGTGTATCAAATACTTGTTCTCCCCACTGTACATAGACTTGAAATCAATGGCCACTTTAATAATGAACACTAGTCACTCTAGTCACTTTGTATATACTGTATTCTATTCTACTGTATTTTAGTCTATGCCACTCCGACATTGCTCAACCTAATATTTATATATTCCTTAATTCCATTATTTTACTTTTAGGTTGTGTGTATTGTTGTGAATTGTTAGATATTAGTGCACTGTTGGAGCTAGAAACACAAGCATTTCGCTACTCCCGCAATAACATCTGCTAAACATTTGTATTTGTGACAAATAACATTTGAGTTGATTTGAATTGATCAGTCTCATGCAGTACTGCCCGGTGATAACTACCACCTGGTGATAACTACACAGTGGGCAAAAAGGATTGCACTGACGTCATTAGGACGTCTTTTATTAATTTGTGGACAGGTTGTATACTGGCTGTATAAGGAATTTCTCAAAACCGAGGGACACAGAATTTACCTGAATATGACTGAGGCCAGTCAGCCAGTCAGTATTGAAGGGGGCCAGTTAGGTGTGGATGGGGGCAGGGTAGGCCGAATGGGAAGACTATGGGGCCTCAGTCTAGTGTAAAAGGAGTGCTGACACCTCAAATCACTGACATCTCATAGCTTTATGAGTTTGGGGGCAACATCAGAGATCATGGACCTTCTAATTGAGCAGTGACTAGATCAGCGATCAGCAGGACAGGCTGAGGAGGGTGGGGTTCTGCGGGGGAACTGAGAGGGCGACTGAGCAGAGTAAATGGGCAGAGATGCCAAGGTAACCTGCCCAAATGACTATCGCCCCCACAGCACACATCTATAGCCATGAAATGCTTTGAAAGGCTGGTCATAGCGCACATCAAAACCATCATCCCAGACACCCTGAACCTACTCCAATTCGCATACCACCCAATAGATCCACAGATGATGAAATCTCTATTGCACTCCACACTGCCCTCACCCACTGCCCACCGGGACAAAAGGAACATCTTTGTAAGAATGCTGTTCATTGACTACAGCTCATCATTCAACACCATAGTCCCCTCCAAGCTCATCACCAAGCTGGGGACCCTTGGACTGAACACCTCCCTCTGCAACTGGATTCTGGACCTCCTGACGGGCCGCCCCTAGGCGGTGAGGGTAGACAACAACACACCCACCACGCTGACCATCAACACAGGGGCCCCTCAGGGTTGTGTGCTTAGTCCTCTCCTGTACTCCCTGTTCACCCACGACTGCGTGGCAGTGCACGACTTCAACACCATCATTAAGATTGCAGACGACAGAATGGTGGTAGGACTGATCACCGATGACTATGAGGCAGCCTATAGGGAGGTGGTCAGAGACCAGGCAGTGAGGTACCAGGACAACAACTTCTCCCTCAACGTCAGCCAGGCGAGGAGCTGATCGAGGACTACAGGAAACAAAGGATGTTCCTCAGTGTCTAGGATAGAGTATAGGGTTCTGGGATGAAGAAGAGAGGGCGTCTATGGGCACCGACCTGACAGACGTTGCACGTCCATGCGGAAGTCGTCCTTGAGGAAGAGGAAGCCCACGATGGAGAAGAGGTAGACAAGGATGAGGGCCAGAACAGCCGTGAGGACGATGGAGCGCCCATTACGCGTCACACTCTTGATCACGTTCAGCAGGGTCTCCTCACGGTTCAGCAGGTCAAAGAGCTAAGGGGCACAGACACACAGTCAGACGCAGACACACATGAACACACACACACACACAGCTTTAGGAGAGCTGTAGAGGAACCATACATCAAAGCTTCCGATTGGCACCAATAGCAAAAGTAGTCTTTCTGCAACTGTGTCAGAAAATCCTGGTTCAAGGAGGAACAAGGAAACCACAAAGCTAAATGACGTAACCACACAACAACCACCTGCCGTCATCTCACGGCACCAAGAAAGGTCCAGACTTAATCAAGGTCAATGTCAAACACCAATGTTATGTTTTCCGAATAATAATCAAGTACTTTCAAGTTCAATTAATCCACTTTATGGAATTGAATGGATAATATCAAGCCTGGTCTTTACATTTAATGGTGAAGTGCTGCAGAGAAGACCAGACAGAGAGATTGTTTCCACTAACCAGGAAGCTGTAGAAGAACTCGTGGACGAAGAGGCCCAGCATACAGACGATGACATAGCCCACGTGGTAGAGGAAGGGCATGTCCATGACCACCGGCTTGTAGCCCCGCGTGAACGTTCCCTGGTTGCCCACGAAGCTCACCAGGAACACCATCTTATTGAGGAGCTGGAGAGAGGAGAGAGGAGAGGACTGAGCAATGGCTTCAATAGAAGACAATGCTGAAATCACAAGAAAATAGTTGTACACTGTTGGCTTGGGCAGTAAACCATATACAGGGGTATTTGGAAAAAGCGATGGTTTTTCAATACCGTTGAAACTATTTATTTGTTTTCTTTGTTGAATATTTGTAGCTACTTTTTAAGTAAATACCTGCAGTCAACTTGTGCAATACGTTAGGAGATAAAGAACATTGCGTTCTTCATTTCACCTCACATTATTATGAAGCTTACAGTAGTCCCCAGTCACATGGTGTTTGTTTACGAGCACAACGAAGAGAGACCGGAGCCTTGTGAGTCACTCAATGTTGTGCAGCATGCTCGAGGTGATCTAATTACAGTATGGAATTGCCAGCTAGATGACTTATAACTTATAACTATTAAGTTAACTGTCTAAAATGTGCTAAATGCTCTGCAGTTGTGCATTTGGTTTGCTAATTTAGTGGCTAGTTAGCTATCTAGCTAAGTGGTTAGCTTCTTCCAAAATCAACCATTCGCTTGGTAACAGCAGAGAATCCCCTCCTGGATCAAGAGCCTTGCTGGCTAATATTTGTTTTGTGCGTGCAGCAAACTGCGAGTAGCATTTTTGGGTTACTTGTATACTTTAGGTAAGAAACTGCACAAAATGCTCGCAACGTGTTCATCAGCATTTAGTTAGCATTCTCTATGGGATTTTAAATGTACTTGCTAACCTTCGGATTACAGAGTATTTTATTTTTTATTTAACCTTTATTTAACTAGGCAAGTCAGTTAAGAACAAATTATTCTTTACAATGAAGGCCTATACCAGCCAAACCCGGACGACGCTGGGCCAATTGTGTGCCGGACTCCCAATCACGGCCGGTTGTGATACAGCCTGGAATCGAACCAGGGGGTCTGTAGTGACGCCTCAAGCACTGAGATGCAGTGCCTTTGACCGTTGCGCCACTCGGGAGCATCAGTGGGGTTTGAAAACAGCGCCCGTTGTGTTCACTACCAAATATCCCAGTATGGCACAAGGTCGGTATGAAGGTATGATAATCTGGATACCACCCAAGCCTAGTACACTGTACATTTACTTAAAAATATATTTGACTTTGCTGTACATTTTGCAAACAAATTGCCTCTTGGGAATAATAAAACCTCTATAATATAATCCATTAAAAGGAATTCTTATTTCCTGCTGTAACAGTGCCAAAACCGGGAGCATCACAGCTGTAGAGGGGTTTGGGTTAAGGGGTTGGCGTTAAGTGTCTTGCTCATGGGCACACCGGCAGTAGGTAGGTAGCACATGGGATATTGATGCTAGCAAACCTCCGGCTGCCGGGTCACTGCCACCAGATTTACCCCGTCTGCCCTGGGATTCGAACCTAGTACACTGCCCGCCTCTCTAACATCAAGGATATTTTTGCCCCCTGTGCCCTCGGTAACTCTACTGTACTTACGTTGGCGGCCCCCAGTAGCAACAGGGTGGGGCCGAGGCCCAGTGTGTAGATAGAGCGCAGTATGACAGAGACCAGGAAGGGCCGGACACTCCCTGGTTTGGGAAGGATGAAGAGCATGGTGGTACACACCACCAACGCCACCCACAGCAGGATGGACAGAAAGGGGGGAAGGATGCCTGGGGACGGGTATACAAGCAAATGTCAACAACAACAAAGACAGATTAAGACATTAGAGAGATGGCATTTGGAGCATTTGGGTTAATGTATTATGCAACAGAGCTGAGTGCTTCATTATAGCCTGGTCCCAGATCTTGCCAGTTGGGGACAAGGCTATAGCTAAGTTGCAACTGCCAACTGGCAAGACAACACAAGCAGATCAGGGACCAGGATAGCACTTAGCTACACTTGGCACAACAGAGAGAGAGAGAATCACAATGGGCAACAGTGTGGAATGTCAAACAATGGACCAAAGGGAAGGCTGGTGATATCCAAACCACTGACCTCGTGCCCCTCTTAAATGCTGTCTCCCTCTTGCCCCCGAGAGATTATTTTTATAAAATGACTGTGAGAAGATCACTTCTGGTGACTTTTTAAAATGACATTCTACTCCAAAATGCATGAAAATAAAATAATGTTGACACCAACTTAAATATATATAACTGGTGCGCTGTGGGGAGATGAAGAGCAAGTGGTGGCTGTGCACTCGTGGCTCATTCGTGCCACTGCTCTCTCGGTTTGCTACAAATATACATTGTAACTTTTAACTTTGATCTTAAAGGGATATTTAGAGATTTTGGCAATCAAGCAATTTTTCTACTTAACCAGAGTCTGATGAACTCATGGATTCCCTTTTTATGTCTCTGTGTGCAGTTTGAATGAAGTTGAAAGTAGTTTTGTGAGCCATTGCTAACTAGCGTTAGCGCAATGACTGGAAGACTATGGTAACAGCTAGCATGCTGTTGGAAGGTAGTTTCGTGAGCCATTGCTAACTAGCATTAGCGCAATGACTGGATGACTATTGACTTCCAGTCATTGTGCTTAAGCTAGTTAGCAATTGCGCTAACGATAGTTAGAAACTTCCTTCAAACTGCATGCAGAGACAAAAATGGTATCCTTGAGTTCATCTGACTCTGGGTAAGTAGGAAAAGGACTTGATTGCCAAAATCTCACAATATCCCTTTAAAAGCGTGTCTTGGCAGAAACACACACACACCAGTTTATTAGGTACACCACCCCTTTCAAGAAAATTGATTGCTCCTTCAGACAGTGAGTCACATGGCCATGGCTTGCTATATAAAGCAGGCAGAGTCATTCAGTGACTGTTCGATTGAACGTTAGAATGTGGAAAACAAGACCTGTGACTTTGAACGTGGTATGATCGTCGGTGCCAGGTGCACCGGTTCCAGTATCTCAGAAAGGGCCGCCTTCCTTGGCTTTTCAGGCACAACAGTGTCTAGGGTTTACTGAGAATGGTATGACAAACAAAAAACATCCAGTCAGCGGCAGTCCTGTTGATGAAAACAGCTTGTTGAAGGAGAATGGCAAGAATCGTGCAAGCTAAAAGGCGGGCCACAAACAGACAATTAACGGCGAAGTACAACAGTGGTGTGCAGAACGGCATCTCAGAGCGCACAACTCATCAATCTTTGTCACAGAATGGCTATTGCTGCGACCATACCGGGTTCCACTCCGATCAGCTAAAAACAAGAATAAGCGGCTCCAGTGGGCCACGCGATCAACAACACTGGACAACTGTAGCCCTGTGTAGCTCAGTTGGTTGAGCATGGCACTTGCAATGCCAGGGTTGTGGGTTCGATTCCCACAGGGGGCCAGTATGAAAAAAATAAATATGTATGCACTCACTAACTGTAAGTCGCTCTGGATAAGAGCGTCTGCTAAATGACTAAAAATGTAAAAATTGAGTGGAAAAACATTGCCTGGTCTGACGAATCCCAGTTCCTGCGGTGTCATGCTGATGGCAGAGTCAGGATTTGGCGTAAGCAAGATGAGTCCATGTGGAGAATGTTGTTCTGGCACACGTTAGATCCCTTTATACCAATTGCGCAACGACTGAACGCCACAGTTTATCTGAACATTGTTGCTGACCAAACCCAATAGAGCATCTTTGGGATGAGATGGAATCGGCTGTTCGGAAAAGGCTGTTCCAATGAGATGGAATAGGCTGTTGTACCTCCATCAAATCTGCAACAACTGCGTGATGCCATTGTGTCAGCATGGACCAACATCCCTGTGGAACGTTTCCTACACCTTGTAGAATCCATGCCCTGAAGAATTCAGGCTGTTCTGGTGACAAGGGGGGGTCCGATCCAGTAGGAGATGGGTGTAACTATTAAACTGACCGGTGAGTGTATATGTATGCATGTACAATTGAAGTCGGAAGTTTACATACACTTAGGTTGGAGTCATTAAAACTTGTTTTTCAACCACTCCACAAATTTCTTGTTAACAAACTATAGTTTTGGCAAGTCGGTTAGGACATCTACTGACACAAGTAATTTTTCCAACAATTGTTTACAGACAGATTATTTCACTTATAATTCACTGTATCACAATTCCAGTGGGTCAGAAGTTTACATACACTAAGTTGACTGTGCCTTTAAACAGCTTGGAAAATTCCAGAAAATGATGTCATGGCTTTAGAAGCTTCTGATAGGCTAATTGACATACAGTGGGGGGAAAAAGTATTTAGTCAGCCACCAATTGTGCAAGTTCTCCCACTTAAAAAGATGAGAGAGGCCTGTAATTTTCATCATAGGTACACGTCAACTATGACAGACAAATTGAGGAAAAAAAATCCTGAAAATCACATTGTAGGATTTTTTATGAATTTATTTGCAAATTATGGTGGAAAATAAGTATTTGGTCACCTACAAACAAGCAAGGTTTCTGGCTCTCACAGACCTGTAACTTCTTCTTTAAGAGGCTCCTCTGTCCTCCACTTGTTACCTGTATTAATGGCACCTGTTTGAACTTGTTATCAGTATAAAAGACACCTGTCCACAACCTCAAACAGTCACACACCAAACTCCACTATGGCCAAGACCAAAGAGCTGTCAAAGGACACCAGAAACAAAATTGTAGACCTGCACCAGGCTGGGAAGACTGAATCTGCAATAGGTAAGCAGCTTGGTTTGAAGAAATCAACTGTGGGAGCAATTATTAGGAAATGGAAGACATACAAGACCACTGATAATCTCCCTCGATCTGGGGCTCCACGCAAGATCTCAACCCGTGGGGTCAAAATGATCACAAGAACGGTGAGCAAAAATCCCAGAACCACACGGGGGGACCTAGTGAATGACCTGCAGAGAGCTGGGACCAAAGTAACAAAGCCTACCATCAGTAACACACTACGCCGCTAGGGACTCAAATCCTGCAGTGCAAGACGTGTCCCCCTGCTTAAGCCAGTACATGTCCAGGCCCATCTGAAGTTTGCTAGAGTGCATTTGGATGATCCAGAAGAGGATTGGGAGAATGTCATATGGTCAGATGAAACCAAAATATAACTTTTTGGTAAAAACTCAACTCGTCGTGTTTGGAGGACAAAGAATGCTGAGTTGCATCCAAAGAACACCATACCTACTGTGAAGCATGGGGGTGGAAACATCATGCTTTGGGGCTGTTTTTCTGCAAAGGGACCAGGACGACTGATCCGTGTAAAGGAAAGAATGAATGGGGCCATGTATCGTGAGATTTTGAGTGAAAACCTCCTTCCATCAGCAAGGGCATTGAAGATGAAACGTGGCTGGGTCTTTCAGCATGGCAATGATCCCAAACACACCGCCCGGGCAACGAAGGAGTGGCTTCGTAAGAAGCATTTCAAGGTCCTGGAGTGGCCTAGCCAGTCTCCAGATCTCAACCTCATAGAAAATCTTTGGAGGGAGTTGAAAGTCAGTGTTGCCCAGCGACAGCCCCAAAACATCACTGCTCTAGAGGAGATCTGCATGGAAGGAATGGGCCAAAATACCAGCAACAGTGTGTGAAAACCTTGTGAAGACTTACAGAAAACGTTTGACCTGTGTCATTGCCAACAAAGGGTATATAACTAAGTATTGAGAAACTTTTGTTATTGACCAAATACTTATTTTCCACCATAATTTGCAAATAAATTCATAAAAAATCCTACAATGTGATTTTCTGGATTTTTCTTTCTCATTTTGTCTGTCATAGTTGACGTGTGCCTATGGTGAAAAGTGGGAGAACTTGCACAATTGGTGACTGACTAAATACTTTTTTCTCCCCACTGTAATTTGAGTCAATTGGAGGTGTACCTGTGGATGTATTTCAAGGCCTACCTTCAAACTCTGAGCCTTTTTGCTTGACATCATGGTAAAATCAAAAGCAATCAGCCAAGACCTCAGAATTTTTTTTTGTAGACCTCCACAAGTCTGGTTAATCCTTGGGAGCTATTTCCAAACGCCTGAAGGTACCCCGTTCATCTGTACAAACAATAGTACGGAAGTATAAACACCATGGGACCGCGCAGCTGTCGTTATGACCATCGTTATGTTTGGAGGAAAAAGGGGGTGCCTTGCAAGCCGAAGAACAAATTTTTACATTTACATTTTAGTCATTTAGCAGACGCTCTTATCCAGAGCGACTTACATGAGCAATTAGGATTAAGTGCCTTGCTCAAGGGCACATCGACAGATTTTTCACCAAGTCGGCTCGGGGATTAGAACCAGCGACCTTTCGGTTACTGGCACAACGCTCTTAACCACTAAGCTACCTGCCACCCAACCGTGAAGCACGGCGGTGGCATCATCATGCTGTGGGGGTGCTTTGCTCCAGGAGGGACTGGTGCACTTCACAAAATAGATGGCATCATGAGGAAGGAAAATTATGTGGCTATATTGAAGCAACATCTCAAGATATCAGTCAGGAAGTTAAAGCTTGGTTGCAAATGGGTCTTCCAAATGGACAATGACCCAAAGCATACTTCCAAAGTTGTGGCAAAATGGCTTAAGGCCAACAAAGTCAAGGTATTGGAGTGGCCATTACAAAGCTCTGACCTCAATCCTATAGAAAACATGTGGGCAGAACTGAAAAGGTGTGTGCGAGCAAGGAGGCCTACAAACCTGACTCAGTTACACCAGCTCTGTCAGGAGGAATGGGCCAAAATTCACCCAACTTATTGTGGGAAGCTTGTGGAAGGCTACCGGAAACATTTGACCCAAGTTAAACAATTTAAAGGCAACGCTACCAAATACTAATTGAGTGTATGTAAACTTCTGAACCACTGGCAATGTGATGAAAGAAATAAAAGCTGAAATAAATAATTATCTCTACTATTATTCTGACATTTCACATTCTTAAAATAAAGTGGTGATCCTAACTGACCTAAGACAGGGAATTTTTACTAGGATTAAATGTCAGGAATTGTGAAAAACTGAGTTTAGATGTATTTGGCTAAGGTGTATGTAAACTTCCGACTTCAACTGTATGTATGTGCGTATGTATGTATGTACTGTGAGGGGAAAAAATATTTGATCCCCGGCTGATTTTGTACATTTGCCCACTGACAAAGAAATGATCAGTCGATAATTTTAATGGTAGGTTTATTTGAACAGTGAGAGACAGAATAACAACAACAAAATCCAGAAAAACGCATTTCAAAAATGTTATAAATTGATTTGCATTTTAATGAGGGAAATAATGACCCCTCTGCAAAACATGACTTAGTACTTGGTGGCAAAACCCTTGTTGGCAATCACAGAGGTCAGACGTTTCTTGTAGTTGGCCACCAGGTTTGCACACATCTCAGGAGGGATTTTGTCCCACTCCTCTTTGCAGATCTTCTCCAAGTCATTAAGGTTTCGAGGCTGACGTTTGGCAACTCGAACCTTCAGCTCCCTCCACAGATTTTCTATGGGATCAAGGTCTGGAGACTGGCTAGGCCACTCCAGGACCTTAATGTGCTTCTTCTTGAGCCACTCCTTTGTTGCCTTGGCCGTGTGTTTTGGGTCATTGTCATGCTGGAATACCCATCCACGACCCATTTTCAATGTCCTGGCTGAGGGAAGGAGGTTCTCACCCAAGATTTGACGGTACATGGCCCCGCCCATCGTACCTTTGATGCAGTGAAGTTGTCCTGTCCCCTTAGCAGAAAAACACCCCCAAAGCATAATGTTTCCACCTCCATGATTGACTTGGGGATGGTGTTCTTGGGGTCATAGGCAGCATTCCTCCTCCTCCAAACACGGCGAGTTGAGTTGATGCCAAAGAGCTCCATTTTGGTCTCATCTGACCACAACACTTTCACCCAGTTCTCCTCTGAATCATTCAGATGTTCATTGGCAAACTTCAGACAGCCCTGTATATGTGCTTTCTTGAGCAGGGGGACCATGCGGGCGCTGCAGGATTTCAGTCCTTCACGGCATAGTGTGTTACCAATTGTTTTCTTAGTGACTATGGTCCCAGCTGCCTTGAGATCATTGACAAGATCCTCCCGTGTAGTTCTGGGCTGATTCCTCACCGTTCTCATGATCATTGCAACTCGGCCCCAGGCCGAGGGAGATTGACAGTTATTTTGTGTTTCTTCCATTTGCGAATAATCGCACCAACTGTTGTCACCTTCTCACCAAGCTGCTTGGCGATGGTCTTGTAGCCCATTCCAGCCTTGTGTAGGTCTACAATCTTGTCCTTGACATCCTTGGAGAGCTCTTTGGTCTTGGCCATGGTGGAGAGTTTGGAATCTGATTGATTGATTGCTTCTGTGGACAGGTGTCTTTTATACAGGTAACAAGCTGAGATTAGGAGCACTCCCTTTAAGAGTGTGCTCCTAATCTTAGCTAGTTACCTGTATAAAAGACACCTGGGAGCCAGAAATCTTTCTGATTGAGAGGGGGTCAAATACTTATTTCCCTCATTAAAATGCAAATAAATTTATAACATTTTTTAAATGCGTTTTTCTGGATGTTTTTGTTGTTATTCTGCCTCTCACTGTTCAAATAAACCTACCATTACAATTATAGACTGATCATTTCTTTGTCAGTGGGCAAACGTACAAAATCAGCAGGGGATCAAATACTTTTTTCCCCTCACTGTACATACACACACAGAACAAAAATATAAACGCAACATGTAAAGTGTTGGTCCCATGTTTCATGAAATAAAAGATCCCAGAAATCTTCCATACGCACAAAAAGCTTATTTTGTCACACAACACAATGCCACAGTTGTCTCAAGTTTTGAGGGAGCGTGCAATTTGCATGCTGACTGCAGGAATGTCCACCAGAGCTGTTGCCAGAGAACTAAATGTAATTTATCTAACATAAGTCGCCTCCAAAGTAGTTTTATAGAATTTGGCAGTACGTCCAACCGGCCTCACAACCGCAGACCATGTGTAATCACGCCAGCCCTGAACCTCCACATCCGGCTTCTTCACCTGGGGGATCATCCGAGACCAGTCACCCGAACAGCTGATGAAACTGAGGAGTATTTCTGTCTGTAATAAAGCCGTTTTGTGTGGAAAAACGTATTCTGACTGGCTCCCAGGCACACCCATTGCTGCGCCCCTGCCCAATCATGTGAAATCCATAGATCAGGGCCTAATTAATTTATTTCAATTGACGGATTTCCTTATATGAACTGTAACTAAGTAAAATCGTTGAAATTGTTGCATGTTGCGTTTATATTTTCTGTTATGCATGTATGTATGTATGTATGTATGTATGTATGTATGTATGTATGTATGTATGTATGTATGTATGTATGTATGTATGTATGTATGTATGTATGTATGTATATATGTATACAGTACCAGTCAAAAGTTTGGACACACCTACTCATTCCAGGGTTTTTCTTTATTTGTACTATTTTCTACATTGTAGAATAATAGTGAAGACATCAAAACTATGAAATAACACATATGGAATCATGTAGTATCCAAAGAAGTGTTAAACAAATCAAAAAATATATTTGAGATTTTTCAAACAGCCACCCTTTGCCTTGATGACAGCTTTGCACACTCTTGGCATTCTTTCAACCAGCTTCATGAGGTAGTCACCTGGAATGCATTTCAATTAACAGGTGTGCCTTCTTAAAAGTTAAAAGTTAATTTGAGAAACACTGGCAACTGTGTGCCCTAATGAATAAGGGCTCCCGAGTGGCGCAGCGGTCTAAGGCACTCCATCTCAGTGCTAGAGGCTGTATCACAATCCGGCCGTGATTGGGAGTCCCATAGGGCGGCGCACAATTTGCCCAACGTCATCCGGGTTTGGCCGGAGTAGGCCGTCATTATAAATAAGAATTAGTTCTTAACTGACTTGCCTAGTTAAATAAAGGTTAAAAAAGACCCTGCTGTAGACCAGTAGGAAATCTCACCTTCATCTTCGTCGTCACCGAAGGGGTAAAAGAGAGCCACGGCCACATTGACCAGTACGGCCAGGTAGAAAGAGATGCTTCCCCACAGAGAGATGTGCCGAGAGAACCAGAACAGAGCCAGGTTATCTGAACAGACACAGGGGACATCTGGTTAATAGCCATATATCACAATAACCCTGGAAATGTCACCTTAGAAAGAGATTCCAGAATCTTTTGTCAGTGTAAAACCTGGTCTCTTACTGCGTATCTTCTTCTGCCAGCGCATCTCGTTGTAGAGGTCGTCGAACTGCGTGAAGAAGTCATTGACCTTGCTGCCTTGGTCGTCCCTCTCGGTGGTGGTGAACACGCGTGTTTTGGACTCCTCTGTCAGGTACTCACAGATGTTGGGCACCGGGAACACTATTTGCTCCATTGTGCGGTCGTGACGCACAATCTGAAGAAAGAACATGATATGATGATACCTCTAAGACTAAGAACAAAAGTAGCTGTACTTTCAGGTAGGCTTGGGTGGTATACCGTATACCAAGGTATTTACTGATGGTATGATTTCAATACCGTCAACAAAAACAAACAAAACACTTTCTTTTAGTTGTTTTGTTTTGGGGTGTTTGCGTGATCCACCACTGTTTATAACTAAGTTAACTATCTAAGATGTGCCAAATACATTATCTCCAGCTCAAGGCTCTAGCTACTGTATGCATTTAGTTTGCTTACTTGCTAGCTATGTGACTAGTTTGAAGATCAAGCTTCTTGGTTTCAGTAGAGACAATCAATCTCCTCCTGGATCAAGATTTAACATTTTAGTAATTTAGCAGACGCTCTTATCCAGAGCGACTTACAGTTATAGTGAGTGCATACATTTTCATACTGATCCCTGCTGCCTACATTTGTTTTGTGCATAAAAACAAAAAAAAATTACTGCTGGTTGTACTGTATGCCCCGGTATGGTAAGGAACAGTATGAAGGTATGAAAATCTGGATACCACCCAACCCTACTTTCAGAGGTAAATCTAATAGCATGTTCTAGCATCAATCGGACAAACAGCAAACTTTCAGACCACAATCACTCAAAGACAGACCACTAGTTATCTGCTGGCATTATCTCAATGAATGCTTGTTACCATTGCATAATAAACCCCTTTGGATTCATTGCTGATTAAGCCACCAAAGAATCAGCTAAATATGATACCCTTAGACCAGGTACAGCATAGCTGTACCTTCAGGGGTATATATTATCTAATAGCCTGTTATAGCATCAACAAAAAATAAATAAATGTAAGGGCAAAACAGGCCTGTAGCTTTCCAGTGGGCAAAACCGGTTGTCATTATGATGTCATTTCAACCAGTTTTCCCTGCTGGGTTGGGACAATGTGATGCGATGACCACTGTCTGGATGAGGCCTACCTCTATCTGAGCGGTGTGGTTAGCATAGTAACCGAGGGCGTCTTCTCCCTCTGGGTCATGGTTCAGCAGTAGCCCCGTCGCTGGCGGCCTCAAGCTCTGTTGCAGGAACTTACTGTGTCTGGCCAGCTGGAACACACATAGTACAGCCAATCAGTCAACACACAGTACTTTCACTATGTATTACAGCTCTGTCAGTGGTCACAAAAGGTGGAAGGGGTGAGTTACCCCATCCATTTGATCATCTGATTTGTTTGTAACGTCTAGCAAAGTAATATGTATACAGTGTATACCAAACATTAGGAACACCTTCCTAATATTGAGCTGTGCCACCAAGTCTCTGTTGTTGACACTGTACTACTTATCCACTCTATCCAATGATGGATTTGGCTGCCTGCCTATTGCTCCTTCTGTGGTGATATAGACATCAGTGAGCGAGACAAATTATACAGTTGTCAGCTGTGATGGGGGTGATTCTCAGCTGACTATGTCAGACACAGCAGACGTTCAGAAGTGTGTTGGCTTGTACTGATAAACAGGTAGAAAGAAATGCTTGGGTTGTGTGTGTTATGTGTGTGTATATGAACACTTGAGGCAGGAGTGTGGTATCTATGGTATGTTCATTTGTATATGTGGGGTTATACAATGGGGTAGAGTGTGTGTGTGAACTTCTGTATGCGCTCATGTGTGTATGTATTATTTTGGAAGTAGAAACAGCCAGCCCCCAGAGACATCGTGGTCATGATGAAACCATGGTGGGGCAGAAATATCCTGTCTGTCTGACACTCGGCTCTATTGTGAGTAAAAGACAGAAGTGAAAACACGCTTGACCTAGTCTGTCCTTTCTACAGAGACAGACACACGTCTGTGTGTGTGTTTTCACTATGACTCAACACAGGAACTGAACCATCTATTCCACTGAAAGTCACATCCATGATCACGTACTGAAATTACATAAGACTAGACTATATAACCACACCTACAGACAAGAATCATTAGACTTACCTGGCGGGGCAGTAAGAGTGTGACACATAGTGAATTACCGTCTTTTCTGTGACATTGATGTACTCATTGGGCCCTTTTTAAAGCATGAATATACATGGTTCACAAAATCTCTCCCACACACTCAATTATGTATGTTAAAAGAAACACACACACACACACACGTCATGGTGTTACCTGGTGGGCCAGGATGTAGATGTTGTGTCCCACGTCTTTAGGTTTGATCTGGTCTGCTAAAGCGTTCTCCTCAGCCTCACTTTCCAGCCCCTGGGCATATGCCTCCTTCATCACATTCACCTGGAACACACATTGTCAGTACGGTGTGTGTGCTTGTCTTTGTGTGCTTGATGTGTGTGCTTGTGTGTGTGTGTAGAGCCACTCACCAGCTCCATGGGCCTCATCTTGTAAAGGATCTTCTCTGCGTTCTCACTGTCATGGCGACTCTCCATGATGGCCAGCAGCAGCTTGGAGGCGTTGTTCTATCACACAGAGACCATATCACATTACCATCACATCCTAACCCACTACACAATCATCTATGTTACTGGGAGGAAACAGACTTCAAAATCAGTACTAAAGGAATGAATGAACTGATGGATAGTCCATTACACCTACATGAATATTGTATAAAAGTCCCATAAAAGTCCCAATTCTTGTTAAAAGTCCCATTTGTCCTTGTGTGGTTATGGCCTTACAATGTGATATCCGCTGAGATGTTAGTGAGGGAGGAAATACATTTATTTTTTAAAGAAAGGAGGAAAGAAACAGTGCATTCCTCCCTCACTAACATCTCAGCGGATATCACATTGTAAGGCCATAACCACACAAGGACAAATGGGACTTTTAACAAGAAATGGACTCTCAAATGACTGCCATTGATAGTGATAACTTTGTATGTGAAGTATGAACGGTCAATTTACTGTATATAGGGCTGGATAGGATACCTATACAATATTCATGTAGGTATAAATGAACTATTTATCTGCTGCTTATCAAGCCATTGACTTCCACTGAACACACAAAGGGGTCTCGTATAGAGGCATGCTAACCTTGAGTTCCAGCACCAGGTCCAGTCGATGCTTCCCTAAAGGGTTGACGGGGTTGACTATTAGAGCTATGATGATGTCGATGCCGTTAGACTCGTGCTTGGCTATACAGGACTGGGACAGCAATAGGTTAGTTAGTGAGTGAAAAGCAAACTTTAAAATGAGAACAACTTTCCATTGGAGGTATAATAGTGAAACCAACATTGATTTAAAGAGATAGTTCAAATGACAAAACCCTAGGTACAGTAAGTTGACAATAAGCTTATAGATTCTTGAAAGTCGGGACAATCCTTGTCCGGCAGGGGATTTAAAAAAAAATTGTGGCATTATTTGAGCTAAAATGTTACATTTAGGGCAATTTTATAAGGGGAAAGATTTGTTTTTAGAATGTTCTAAATATTTTCAATATTATGAGTTTCCATGTCGGCTCTATGACCGGAAATGGCCTTGTCCGAAGCAAATGATCCCAATTTCAAACTCTCCAAATAAAGGTTTAAAATTCTAAAATCAGACAATAATGAATATTAACTGAAAAAGGATCTTATGGAGTTTATTGCAATATTCCTCTCAAAACTGTGATTCCTAAAAATAAATGTCTGGAGATTGTCAACTCCGTCAGGTTTGTCTAAAATCCTAAATTAAATCAGGAATAAGCAGGGACAACTATATCATAAGGACCCCTTCTTCATGTCCTGATTACATGAAGTGCAACAAGACTACTCATGGTCTGTAAAGTTTTCTACTTTTGATAGATTTAAACAAACAATATTAAAATCACCATGGGTCACAACCATAAACGGTCAACTCCATCAACCGGGTAGATTAAGATAGGCTGTGAATTTTGGGACAAATATGTTTACCGTATTTTCCGCACTATAAGGCGTACCGGAGTATAAGCCGCAGCAGCTAAATTGAATGATATGTACATATATAAGCCGCACTGGACTATAAGCCGCAGGTGTTTTAATGTTTAATTACCATATGTAAGGGTTCGTGCACAGAGGGGATTGTCGGGAAAGAGACAAACTGTCTCGCTCTCGTAATGTCTGTCTGTCTTGCTCTCGTTCTGTCTCTCGTTCTGTCTCTCGTACCACTCTCGGTTCCACTTTTACGCGCTACCTGTCTCACTCTTTTCCGGCCTCCAGCTTTTCCTGCTGGAGCCCGCCGCTTAAAGGTGGGGGGCGCGGACCGGTCATAGAGCCCATAGAGTTAAAGTTGGTGGACTGTAACCTGTAAAATCCATAGATTTAGGAGGTCTTCTACTGGCCGTTAGCTGTAAAAATCCATAGATTAGCCGCACCGTTATATAAACCGCAGGGTCGAAAAATGGGGAAAAAGGCGCGGCTTATAGTCCGAAAATTACGGTATTTTAAATTAGGTTTTACAGTCATAAAGCAACTGAGGAAGACAAGATTGCTACTTTATATACCACTTGAATGAAGAAAAATGACATTTTTGTCAATGCCGTTAAACATCAACGTCAGATTTTTGTCTAACGTCAATTCCATCAGAGTGCTGGAAGATCTGATAGAATGATTGTTTTTACTGGGGATTTTAAAATTAATAATTTTCTCCATTTTACAAATGTTTGTATTCGAGGCAAAAATATGTCTGTTTTGAGTATTTGTTGTCAACTCCGTGAGTGGCTTCTCAACTCCATCACTGATGGCTAACCCCCTTAAGATATATTTCCCCCCCTAAAAAAAACGTTCAATCACTGTTCTGCAACATATGCTTAAACTATTGAAGTATTTGCTGTGCTAGATCTAAGGGATAATGTTTGCTTTAGAAATGTTGTTTTAAGTTCTGAATTTAAAAAAACATGCAAAAATGCTAACGAAATTAGCCCTGGAGCATTATATAGCGCTATAACACAAAACAAAAATAAGTTTGGAGATTTATATAACATATGCTGAACAAAAATATATAAACGCAACATGCAACAATTTTAAAGATTTTACTGAGTTACAGATCATAGAAGGAAATCAGTTAATTGAAATAGATTCATTAATTCAAGCCCTTATCTATGGATTTCACATGATTGGGGAGCCAGGCCCAGCCAATCAGAATTAGTTTTTCCCCACAAAATGGCTTTATTACAGACATAAATACTCCTCAGCAGCACCCCCCTCCTTAGATGATCCCGCAGGTGAAGAAGCCGGATGTGGAGATCCTGGGCTGGCGTGGTTACACGTGGTCTGCGGTTGGACGTACTGCCAAATTATCTGAAACGACGATGGAGGCGGCTTATGGTAGAGAAATGAACATTCAATTCTCTGGCAACAACACTGGTGGACATTCCTGCAGTCAGCATGCCAATTGCACACTCCCTCAAAACTTGAGACATCTGTGGCATTGGGTTGTGTGATAACGTGGCCTTTTATTGTCCCCAGCACAAGGCGCACCTGTGTAACAATCATGTTGTTTAATCAGCTTCTTCATATGCCACACCTGTCAGGTGGATGGATTATCTAGGCAAAGGAGAAATGCTCACTAACAGGGATATAAACAAATTGGTGCACAACATTTGAGATAACTAAGCTTTTTGTGCGTATGGTAAATGACTGGTATCTTTTATTTCAGCTCATGAAACATCGGACCAACACCTTACATGTGTTTATATCTTTGTTCAGTATATTTTAATTTTCTAATGTTAGAATTAAACAATCAAGGCCTTTAAATACTTGTTAGGCAATAAATGAACAAATGAAATGCCTTTTATGGAGCCTGACGAAGTTATCATAAATCCAGTTAGTTGCATTATATGATTTATTTATTAGGACATTGTTGCTTTTGACATGGTGTGACAGCTGATACTTTGATCTATCAAAATATACATTTCAAATGTTGTTAATATTAAGAAATATGTTTGTGAGAAAAAAGTAGAGATTGTCCCATCTTTCAAGAATCCCTGAGCTACAACTTCCAAAAAGTGAACTATCCCTTTAAGATGTTTTAGACTCAATTAGACAATACTGTTGTCTGTTTGGCAGGATCGTAGGCTAATAGTGTAACTTCCCAACCACTTCATAAATTGACATGAACAGCATGATTCACATGTTACTGAACACCCCCACATTTGCTGTACATTCATTTAAATGGTTTACATGGCTACACTTGAACCACAAAATCAACACATAACCATCAATGTGACATACATCAGGGATTTTTCCTGTGCTGTTGCCAACTGTGAAAGTGCTGATGTATGATTAATGTGAGTGGGAGCTGTATGTGTATCTTATTCAAACATGCATGGCTGTTACTGTCCATGGTTGTCACATCGATGTCATGCTCACGTGTTGGACAGGCCTCCTGACCAAATTTAAACCTTTGGGAAACACTGGTGTAGCATACAGTTATGATCTTGCATGGTATTAATCCAACTCCAAAATAGCAACACTATTCATCATCTTCCATGGTAAAGTGAACACAGCAACCTACATTTTCTGGTGTAAACGGTTGGTGACTCCAAGGGCCTAATTTATAACCATTGTGTAAATGTAACACTAAATATCTGGGTGTGCCATTGAGATTTATAAACATGGCGCACGCCATCCGCATAAATCAGACCTGTTGTAAAACTGTGCGATTGTGAACGAGCATTATAACACCCATCATTCACCTTTTATGGTGACAATAATGCCCTTACTTGCTGTATACCTTGGAAGTATTGACCAAGACAGTATCTAAAGGAAATCGCAATGCATGGCGCACTTGAGAAAATATCTTTGGAGGTGTTAGCAGAATGATTTATTTTGCGGTAACATTTGCTGTATGTGACCGTTTCTGATAAAAAGAATTGCAAATTGTTGTGGACCTGTAAACAGATCGTTTGAATGCAATAATGCTTTAACTTTTTCCATTACCTAAATATGCTGCAATGCCCACGAACTCTGAAACGTTGTCTACTAAGAAGAAAATGAAAACTACAGTAGACCTACTTACAGTGGTAGCCTACACCAGGGTTTCCCAAACTCTGTCCTGGCCCCATACAAGACCACTGATCTCACCCCGTGGGGTCAAAATGATCACAAGAACGGTGAGCAAAAATCCCAGAACCACACGGGGGGACCTAGTGAATGACCTGCAGAGCTGGGACCAAAGTAACAAAGCCTACCATCAGTAACACACTACGCCGCCAGGGACTCAAATCCTGCAGTGCCAGACGTGTCCCCCTGCTTAAGCCAGTACATGTCCAGGCCCGTCTGAAGTTTGCTAGAGTGCATTTGGATGATCCAGAAGAGGATTGGGAGAATGTCATATGGTCAGATGAAACCAAAAAATTGAACTTTTTGGTAAAAACTCAACTCGTCGTGTTTGGAGGACAAAGAATGCTGAGTTGCATCCAAAGAACACCATACCTACTGTGAAGCATGGGGGTGGAAACATCATGCTTTGGGGCTGTTTTTCTGCAAAGGGACCAGGACGACTGATCCGTGTAAAGGAAAGAATGAATGGGGCCATGTATCGTGAGATTTTGAGTGAAAACCTCCTTCCATCAGCAAGGGCATTGAAGATGAAACGTGGCTGGGTCTTTCAGCATGACAATGATCCCAAACACACCGCCCGGGCAACGAAGGAGTGGCTTCGTAAGAAGCATTTCAAGGTCCTGGAGTGGCCTAGCCAGTCTCCAGATCTCAACCCCATAGAAAATCTTTGGAGGGAGTTGAAAGTCAGTGTTGCCCAGCGACAGCCCCAAAACATCACTGCTCTAGAGGAGATCTGCATGGAGGAATGGGCCAAAATACCAGCAACAGTGTGTGAAAACCTTGTGAAGACTTACAGAAAACGTTTGACCTGTGTCATTGCCAACAAAGGGTGTATAACAAAGTATTGAGAAACTTTTGTTATTGACCAAATACTTATTTTCCACCATAATTTGCAAATAAATTCATAAAAAATCCTACAATGTGATTTTCTGGATATTTTTTTTCTCATTTTGTCTGTCATAGTTGACGTGTACCTATGATGAAAATTACAGGCCTCTCTCATCTTTTTAAGTGGGAGAACTTGCACAATTGGTGGCTGACTAAATACTTTTTTTCCCCCGCTGTATGTATTATGTTTATAAATGAAATATTGTTTACTGGAGAAATCTGACGTTACAGTATTCAAATGTAGTAGCCTACAAACGTCAATGGAAAAGGTGAACCATCTCTTCTACCATTAAAATGCGCTTTGGATCGAATATAGCAAAATACTTTAAATGGCTTATCAATTTACTACTGTGAAGTGGGACCAATTAAATGAGAGATGGGACGAATGGTAACCTAACTTGTTGTAGGCCTATAGGCTATTTCGAGAGTAGAATGAAAAGGAAAGGAATTTCTTCTGCAATGGAAATGAAATAAATAATTGGAAACGTATGCCTATTTCTAATTATTTTAGAATGCAAAGATAAAATAAATAGATTTTCGCTCTTCTCACTAATGGCAAATGATTGCATCTTGTTATTATATTTAGCTACCTGTGGCAGCGGTTACAGCCTCGAGTCTTCTTCGGTATGACGCTACAAGCTTGGCAAACCTGTATTTGGGGAGTTTCTCCCATTCTTCTCTGCAGATCCTCTCAAGCTCTGTCAGGTTGGATGGGGAGCGTTGCTACACAGCTATTTTCAGGTCTCTCCAGAGATGTTCGATCGGGTTCAAGTCTGGGCTCTGGCTGGGCCACTCAAGGACATTCAGAGACTTGTCCCGAAGCCACTCCTGTGTTGTCTTGGCTGTGTGCTTAGGGTCATTGTCCTGATGGAAGGTGAACCTTCACCCCAGTCTGAGGTCCTGAGCGGTCTGGAGCAGGTTTTCATCAAGGATCTCTCTGTACTTTGCTCCGTTCAGCTTTCCCTTGATCCTGCCTAGTCTCCCAGTCCCTGCCGCTGAAAAACATACCCACAGCATGATGCTGCCACCACCATGCTTCACCGTAGGGATGGTGCAAGGTTTCCTACAGACGTGACGCTTGGCATTCAGGCCAAAGAGTTCAATCTTGGTTTCAGCAGACCAGAGAATCTTGTTTCTCATGGTCTGAGAGTCCTTTATGTGCCTTTTGGCTAAATCCAAGCGGGCTGTCATGTGCCTTTTACTGAGGAGTGGCTTCCATCTGGCCACTCTACCATAAAGGCCTGATTGGTGGAGTGCTGCAGAGATGGTTGTCCTTCTGGAAGGTTCTCCCATCTCCACAAAGGTACTCTGGAGCTCTGTCAGAGTGACCATCGGGTTCTTGTTCACCTCCCTGACCAAGGCCCTTCTCCCCCGATTGCTCAGTTTGGCCGGGTGGCCAGCTCTAGGAAGAGTCTTGGTGGTTCCAAACTTCTTCAATTTAACCATGATGGAGGCCACTGTGTTCTTGGGGACCTTCAATGCTGCAGAAATGTTTTGGTACCCTTCCCCAGATCTGTGCCTCGACACAATCCTGTTTCGGAGCTCTACGGACAATTCCTTCGACCTCATGGCTTGGTTTTTGCTCTGACATGCACTGTCAACTGTGGGACCTTATATAGACAGGTGTGTGCCTTTCCAAATCATGTCGAATCAATTGAATTTAGTTGTAGAAACATCTCAAGGATGACCAATGGAAACAGGATGTACCTGAGCTCAATTTCAAGTGTCATAGCAAAGGGTCTGAATACTTATGTAGATGTGATATTTCTGATTTCTTATTTTAATAAATTTGCTAACAATTCTAAAAACCTGTTTTTGCTTTGTCATTATGGGGTATTGTGTGTAGATTGATGAGGGAAAAAAACAATTGAATCAATTTTAGAATAAGGCTGTAACGTAACTAAATGTGGAAAAGGGGAAGGGGTCTGAATACTTACCGAATGCGCTGTATATTCAGGCTAGAGTACTTTTGTTTTCATGAAATGCAATACTTAAACCACTAGAAACTGTGCGTATGCATAGTCTAAAGTTCGCAGGACGATAAGCACACTCTCCAGTCAAGTTCAGTTTTTATAAATGCTAACTTTTGCGTGAAAACTTGCACACGCATGTTTTTGGGCATATTTTGTGCGTACACAACGTTTATAAATGAGGCCCTAGGACTCCTGCTCAACGTCTTAACCATTAGACAAAGAGGAAATCCTTGTGGTACGAGGGTTACACTATATTGTATAATTTGGGTTTACAAGTTTCAGGCAAGGACACCTCATCACAAGACTGTGATTCCAAATGACCTACTCTATACTGGCACAGTTTTGGGGTGACCTGGTTGGTAGTGGTGGTCCCCTACCTGGTTCTCGTGGCAGGGTCCCTGGCAGTACTCTGTGATGGTCTCCAGGGTCTGCCGGACCAAGTCCACGTTGCCCTCATTGATGTAGAGTCCCAGCAGGCCCAGGCCTCCAGTGGTGCTGCCACACATGATGTCCAGGAACTGCAGAGTTTCACACACCAGGTTGTAGTTGGTCTTGTTGTTCTGGTTCCGCAGGAAGTTCTGGATTCAGGGAGGAACCAGGAGGGGGAAAAAAGGTGGTTCATATTCATAGGATACTTGCATGATATCCTATCTGAGTGTGAGCACATCTGATCTGGGTTTAAAGCAGGGTGTGTCAACATTTCAGAATAAAAGCTTGAGACATACACTGAGTGTACAAAACATTAAGAACACCTTCCTAATATTGAGTTGCACCCCCTTTTTCCATCAGAACAGCCTCAATTCGTCAGGGCATGGACTCTACATGGTGTAGAATGCGTTCCACAGGGATGCTGGCCCATGTTGACTCCAATGCTTCCCACAGTTGTGTCAAGTTAGCTGGATGTCTTTTGGGTGGTGGACCATTCTTGATACATTCGGGAAACTGTTGAGCGTGGAAAAACCCAGCAGTGTTGCAGTTCTTGACACAAACCGGTGCGCCTGGCACCTACTACCATACCCTGTTCAAAGGCACTTAAATATTTTGTCTTGCCCATTCACCCTCTGAATGGCACACATACACAAACCATGTCTCAATTGTCACAAGGCTTAAAAATCCTTCTTTAACCTGTCTCCTCCCCTTCATCTACACTGATTGAAGTGGATTTAGCAAGTGACATCAATAAGGGATCATTGCTTTCACCTGCATTCACCTGGTCAGTATATGTCATGGCAAGAGCAGGTGTTCCAAATATTTTGTATACTCTGTGTGTATTGACAATAATACCCTGTTACACTGGATATAAAACCCAGATGGTTGCATAAACGCTGGATTCCTATCTAGAGGTGGTGCTATGATAGGCTGCCATAAGATCTCTGTGGCGGTTCTGACTCATAATGGGGATGAGAAGAAAAATTATAATGCTCAACTCATCTCAGAATCGAATCTGTTTCCTCAAATGCAGTAGGACTACCTGCTAATCCCTTTTGAGATGATTCACTTATGATTCACTCATCAGGTGAACATGGTAAACACCATGAAGTTCAGCTTGTGGTCAGAGGAACTATGATCTCTCCATACAGTGCCAATGCTGGTGACAAATCCAATATCCCCTCTGGGGATCAATAAGGTTTATTCAATTCAATACCTGCAGGTCCCTGTTGTGGTTCTCACAGAGCAGCTGCAGGTATCGCAGGATAGGCTTCATGATGGTGATGGACCGGCTCATCTGGGTCTCCTCCTCCCTCTCCTCGGCCACTCCCCCGGGCCCCTCAACGGCCTGGCCCTCCAGCACCTCCAGGTCCGTGTCCCGCTCCTTCCGGAAGGAGACAAAGGCCTTGGAGGTGGCCGAGGACGCCTCCTTCAACTGGCCACGCATGTTGTCTATCATGTGCAGGGAAGAGTCTTTTGCTAGAGGAGGAGGAGGGGGTGGGTCACTGAAAGGTTGCAAAATTCTGGAAACATTCCTAGACATTCACAGGATTTCCAGAAATGTCGAGGATTTCTGTGGACCAGGGTTAAAGGTTGATTTTGAAGTGGAATTACAATTCATGATATGAAAATGTTGCATAATTTCTTCGATTATGTCATCACTTGAATTGCAATACACTTCCTGACCTGATATGGTTATATTGAAATGAAATTGACCCCAACCCTGGAGCTCACTGTGAGCCAATCGAATGTCATCAGTGTTTTTCAATGCTTCCCTCTCAGTGAAACTGATAGCAAACTCATATGAAATCTTATGAAACAAACACTTCTTTGTAATAATTCTGAAATTACCGTAACTGAGTAGTTGGGGTTTTTGGTCAAAACAACTCGTCTGGGTAGAATGGCCCATTGAAAGACTAGTTTTGGATTTAATGGCGCTGGAGTGGATGGCTGTCGTTTTACATGCTCCTAACCAACTGTGCTATTTTGTTAGTTTTTCGCATTGTTTGTAACTTATTTTTTTTACTTATTGTGTAGATAATGTTGCTGCTACCGTCTCTTATGACCGAAAAGAACTTCTGGACATCAGAACAGCGATTACTCACCTCGCACTGGACAAAGATTTTTTCCTCTAACGAGTCCGACGCGAAGGATATACTGCTTTCTCGGGAACGGGCCCAAATCCCCGACATTTGCGTGAAGAAAAGATGGAGAAAAAGTGGGCGGGGTCGGGCTGCCTTCTGAGAATTCGTAGGCGAGTGAGTAAACTTCCACTACCATCCGTTCTATTGGCCAACGTGCAATCATTGGAAAACAAAATGGATGATCTACGATCAAGAATATCCTAATAACGGGATATTAAAAACGGTAATATCTTATGTTTCACTGAGTCGTGGCTGAACGACGACATGGATAATATAGAGCTGGCGGGATTTTTCATGCATCAGCAGGACAGAGAATCTACGTCTGGTAAGACGAGGGGCGGGGGTGTGTGTCTATTTGTCAATAACAGCTGGTGCGCAATGTCTAATGTTAAAGAAGTCTTGAGGTATTGCTCACCTTATGATAAGCTGTAGACCACACGATCTACCAAGCGAGTTCTCATGTATATTATTCGTAGCCGTCTATTTACCACCACAAACCGATGCTGGCGCTAAGACCGCACTCAACGAGCTGTATAAGGCCATAAGCAAACAAGAAAATGCACATTCAGAAGCGGCGCTCCTTGTGGCCGGGGACTTTAATGCACTCATTTCTACCAGCATGTCACGTGCAACCAGATGAGAAGACCACCTTTACTCCACACACAGAAATGGATACAAAGCTCTCCCTCGCCTTTCATTTGGCAAATCTCACCATAATTATATCCCTGATTCCTGTTTACAAGCAAAATCTAAAAGCAGGAAGTACCAGTGACTCGCTCAATATGGAAGTGGTCAGATGACGTGGATGCTACGCTACAGGGCTGTTTTGCTGGCAGAGACTGGAATATGTTCCGGGATTCATCCAATGGCATTGAGGAGTATACCACCTCAGTCGTCGGCTTCATCAATAAGTGCATCGACGACATCGTCCCCACAGTGAACGTACGTACATATCCCAACCAGAAGCCATGGATTACAGGCAACATCCGCATCGAGGCTAGAGTTGCTGCTTTCAAGGAGCGGGACACTAATCCGGACGCTTATAAGAAATCCCGCTACGCCCTCAGACGAACCATCAAACAGGCAAAGTGTCAATACAGCAGCTCTGACGCTCGCCGGATGTGGCAGGGCTTGAAAACTATTACGGACTACAAAGCGAAACCCAGCCGCGAGCTGCCCAGTGACGCAAGCCTACCAGACGAGCTAAATGCCTTTTATGCTCGCTTCGAGGCAAGCAACACTGAAGCATGCATGAGAGCACCAGCTGTTCCGGACGACTGTGATAACGCTCTCGGAAGCAGATGTGAGCAAGACCTTTAAACAGGTCAACATTCACAAAGCCGCGGGGACCAGACGGATTACCACGACGTGTACTCAAAGCATGCGCGGACCAACTGGCAAGTGTCTTCACTGACATTTTCATCCTCTCCCTGCCCGAGTCTGTACTACTTACATGTTTCAAGCAGACCACCATATTCCCTGTGCCCAAAGAAGCGAAGGTAACCTGCCTAAATGATTACCGCCCCGTAGCACTCACGTCGGTAGCCATGAAGTGCTTTGAAAGGCTGGTCATGGCGCACATCAACAGCATCATCCCGGATACCCTAGACCCACTCTAATTCGCATATCGCCCCAACAGATTCACAGATGACGCAATCTCAATCGCAGTCCACACTGCCCTTTCCCAAATGGACAAAAGGAACACATATGTGAGAATGCTGTTCATTGACTACAGCTCAGCATTCAACACCATAGTGCTCACAAAGCTCATCAGTAAGCTAAGTACCATGGGACTAAACACCTCCCTCTGCAACTGGATCCTGGACTTCCTGATGGGCCGCCCCCAGGTGGTAAGGGTAGGCAACAACACGTTTGCCACGCTGATCCTCAACACTGGGGCCCCTCAGGGGTGCATGCTTAGTCCACTCCAGTACTCCGTTCACCCACGACTGTGTGGCCAAACACGACTCCAACACCATCATTAAGTTTGCTGACGACACAACAGTGGTAGGCCTGATCACCGACAACGATGAGACAGCCTATAGGGAGGTCAGAGACCTGGCAGTGTGAGCAAGACAAAGGAGCTGATCGTGGACTACAGGAAAAGGCGGGCCGAACAGGCCCCCATTAACATCGACGGGGCTGTAGTGGAGCGGGTTGAGAGTTTCAAGTTCCTTGGTGTCCATATCACCAACAAACTATCATGGTCCAAACACACCAAGACAGTCGTGAAGAGGGCACGACAACACCGTTTCCCCCTCAGGAGACTGAAAAGATTTGGCATGGGTCCCCAGATCCTGAAAAAGTTCTACAGCTTCACCATCGAGAGCATCCTGACCGGTTGCATCACGCCTGGTATGGCAACTGCTCGGCATCTGACCGCAAGGCACTACAGAGGGTAGTGCGTACGGCCCAGTACATCACTGGGGCCAAGCTTCCTGCCATCCAGGACCTATATACTAGGCGTGTCAGAGGAAAGCCCAAAAAACTGTCAAAGACTCCAGTCACCCAAGTCATAGACTGTTGTCTCTGCTACCGCACGGCAAGCGGTACAGGAGCACCAAGTCTAGGATCAATAGGCTCCTTAACAGCTTCTACCCCCAAGCCACAAGACTGCTGAACAATTAATAAAATGGCCACCCAGACTATTTACATATCAAAAAAATAATTACACTTCTGTTACCCGCTGTCTATTATCTATGCATAGTCACTTTACCCCTACCTACATGTACAAATTACCTCGACTAACCTGTACCCCCGCACATTGACTCGGTACCGGTACCCCCTGTATATATCCTCGTTATTGTTATTTTATTGTGTTACTTATTTTTACTTTAGTTTATTTGGTAAATATTTTCTTAACTCTTTCTTGAACTGCATTGTTGGTTAAGGGCTTGTAAGTAAGCATTTCACGGTAAGGTCTACACCTTATTTGGCGCATGTGACAAATAAAGTTTGATTTGATGTGACCCCTCACATGGCCCCTGACATGTGACCGCAGGCATGGGGGCGAAACAGGAACAACACAACCACAGAATCACCCCAGACTACTGGGTCAGTGATACTACAGGGGAAATCACACATATTACATTTACTGTAGTCACACTGCTGATTAAATGGGTAAATTACCCTGCCAAGAGGGATCAACTGGGCACCTGGAGTCTGATGTCAGCAAAGAGAGAAATGGAAGCAACCTTTGACCTTATGAGTCCCTTCCTATTACTATGTAGTCCTGGCTGGAGTTGTAAACCTTTGAAAAACAATGCATATACTACACAGTTTTACTCCTACTGTATATTACAGTATTAAACAATATTACATACTACTCAAATTCACACTCAAGGCCTATTATCTGTATGTCTGCATTGAGAGCCCTTTTCTGATCTCAGTGGCCTAAGCCCCATCGTCTCCATGGAGACTTCTATGGTCATGTTCAGGGCATGACCCTATGACTCAGCAGCTTTGAAACTTAGCTCCCTCTCCACCTCCCACACTCCTCCCTGGTCCCTTGCTATTTAATTCACTCAACCTTCCACACCTCTGATTCTTCAGTCTGTGGAGCGCTGGACAGTGGACATTTTACAATATCTGCTGCTTCACAGACAACATGTCTGGACTTGTTCTCCCATGAAACAAGGGGAAGGCCAGTAAGGAGGGGAAAGACTGCAGCTGAGGAACTAAATGGAGAACAGGTATTGGAACCGAATAAATGTTATTGACCCCCAGAGGGGAAATTGAGTTTTCCACCAAAAGCAGACACAGACAAAACATTCCAGACACACAGGTATACATCAGAACACATAAGTACAGATGCTTAATGGAACCAAGTATGGGGTATGGAGGAGAGGACCATTTAAATCAAATTATTAGTATGGCCAGAGTAGTGTTGTCATGATACCAGAATTTTGACTTCGATATAGACACCAGGCTTAGTATCACAATGCTAGACGCCATCACGATACTCGATACCAAAATGATACCACGACAATAAAAATCTAGCCGTATTAGCCAAAGTCACCGAATGGCAATTGATCCAGACAATCTTTTGAGATCAATATCATTACATTTTAGGTAAATATTTCAGAGACAGCCATGTATACATTAATGAATCAACTATACAATCAATTTGACATTGTTTTTACCAAACTACATAACAACATATGGCGGAAGGTAGCTTAGTGGGTAAGAGCGTTGTGCCAGTAACCGAAAGGTCGCTGGTTCTAATCCCCGAGCTGACTAGGTGAAAAAATCTGTCGATGTGCCCTTGAGCAAGGCACTTAACCCTAATTGCTCCTGTAAGTCGCTCTGGATAAGAGCGTCTGCTAAATGACAAAATATAATATAAATATAAAATATAATATAATGCTAATCATTTATTTGAATGGTAAATCTCTATTGATTAACTGGGTAAATCAAGATGTAGCCCAGCCCTATTCACAATACAGGTGAATGCATATTCAATAGGAGTGTGTGCATGCATTGAGTTATTGAGCTTGTTTTGGCTGATTTCATGGGGCTATAGATTAAAAACATTTGGGATTTATTTTATTGTACTGATGAAAAACATTTGCATAGAAGAAGCAACCTCTTATTTTATATAAGTGTGCGCTGCATCTTATTTGACAGAAGTACCGAAAGTAACAAATTCTACTACCAAACTGTTTTTCATGTTCTAGTATCGAAAACGTACCGATGTTTTGGTATACCGTGCAACACTAGGCCAGACCAGGGCAATTTGAAAGTACACTTGTGGGGACACTCAATATGGCCGCCGTCCCACCCATCATGCAACAACGACGACTTGAAAGAGAATGTCAGTTCCAGTCATTCTATTTCTATGGAGACAGAATTAGAACATACGTGTTCTCCTGAGCCGGATGCCACTGTGACTGACGTCGACGTCCTCGTCTCTCTTCCTGCAGGTGCTGACCTCGAACATGTTGACGGACACAGTGGCCCGGATCTCCTGCTGGGCCAGACGCATGCGGTCGTAGAACACCTTGAAGAAGTGCTCCGACTTCTTCTGCTTGTGCAGCTGGTGGTAGAATGAGTTCTGAAGGGGGAAGAAGTGTAATCGACCATTAGATAGAACAGTGGTTCCCAAACTATGGGGCTTTCAAATTACTCTTGAAAGTTGTACTAGTAGAATGCACAAAGTGCAAAATTGGGTAGTGCATCATTAGTTTTCCTCTTGTCATATCAGTCATTGCATAACTTCGAAAGCTTGTCAGAAATGTCCAGATCAACTAGCCCATGTCAGCTAAAGTTTTTTAGCTTGGTTTTTTAACCCGTAGATTTTGTTATAATGTTTGAGTCACTCAAATATGACATGAATACACATAAGACATGGCAAAATGTGTAGAATTGCAGGAAATTAGCTTTAAAAAACGGCAACATTTTCTCTCAGCCAACAAAAGGGGTGTGAACAGTTTGTGTCATGAACTGTGCTTGTGCCCATTGAAATCGACGTGGCGCATGTGCGTGCGTGCGGGGGAGGGGGTGGGATGTTCCTCAATGCTGGAAACAGGTCCTGAGTGAAAAAGTTTGGGAACCCCTCAGATAGAAGATAAACACTGGTATCGGAGTGTGTGTCTGGGTGTGTGTGCACGTTTAACTAAACCATCTGATTGCCGTGAGTGTGCATCCACCCACCTGTGTGTGTGTGAGTGAGTGTGCCCTTCAACCTTCACCTCCTCCCCACCCACCTGTATCTGAGTGTTTCCCCCCTGGAGCAGGGCGTTGCCTAGCAGGATGCTCTCCTCGAACATGCGGTCGTTCTTGGTGCTGACGATAAGGTCTATGACCAGCTCTGAGGCTCCCTCACCGTCTAGCAGACACTGGATATCTACCATGCTGCTGCTCGGCTTGTCAGAGTCCTGCACCAAAGAGCCACCTGCAGATGGACATATAGATCAGACTGATTGGATTGGGGAAATGGCAGGACATGATTTGGAACAGACCTGTGTCATGACTTGCCCTCATGGGCTGAGGATCAAAGATGCCAGCTAGACAAAAGTTTGAACACCCCCTCTCCTGGGGGCCAGTTTAATGACCGGTCGTAAATACCGTGTAGACTTTCTCTTCCTTGCCATGAAGTATTGGGAGAAAGGACCCCTTTGTTAACACAGAGAATCTTCCTGCCAAAACTCCAACATCCAAAAGTGGATAATGAAACAATATTTCTACCACAAAGATTGTGGGAAATGGTCGGTTACTATGTTGTGATGTCATTAAAGACGGTGGAACAACATAACTGTATCTCTGTTATCGATATATAACATATATCTTCTAAGAGTTTAATTCGGGAGATTGTAACTCGTTAAACAACTTCTTCCGTGGTGCCCCAAATTCCTAATTAGTTAATTGTTACATTATTAATTTAATCGAGTGACAATTAAACATAGTTAGTTGATTCGATAAATAACAGTCACCATATTAATATGTCACGTCACGTCACGACACCTGGGTTCAACTACTATTAGTTATTTGTATTGTTCTTTTATTTTTCTTAAATCCCATTTTAAAACGTGTACATGACACTGCAAAAAAATTTCAGTATAGGACTTCTGTCTTTGGTAATTGTCCTTTTGGGCTCGGCTTCACCTAAACTACAGTGGAAAACGTGCTTCCAGACCGGAACCCTGAACCTAAAGCAAACGCTAAAAGTGATTGAAAGAATTCAAATATTATTTGAACCCAGGTCTGATTTGGAACCGAGGGTTTTTATGTGTATGTCTTATATCCTCTTATATAGCCCCGTGTAGCTCAGTTGGTAGAGCATGGCGCTTGCAATGCCATGGTTGTGGGTTCGATTCCCACGGGGGGCCAGTATGAAAAAAAAAAATTATGCACTCACTAACTGTAAGTCGCTCTGGATAAGAGTGTCTGCTAAATGACTAAAATGTAAAATGTAAATAACTATCAAGAATAAATAATAGCCGATGGTTTTAGCCAATACTGCATGTTATCTGCTCACTCCCTCTGAGTAACAGGGAGTATTGTTAAAGGGAAACTTTGGGATTTTGGAAACGATGCCCTTTATCTACTTCCCCAGTCAGATGAATTTTTATGTCTCTGTGTCCAGTATGAAGGAAGTTAGAGGTAGTTTCTTGAGCCAATGCTAACTACTGTTAGCAAAATCTATGGGTATCTACAGGCCTGCTAGCAGATGACTGATAGTCTATGGGTAACACTAGTTAGCAATTGGGCTAGCACTAGTTACAACTTCCTTCAAACTGCATGCAGAGACATAAAAATTGTATCCACGAGTTCATCTGACTCTGGGGTAGTAGATAAAAGGGCCTCATTACAAAAATCCCGAAGTATCCCTTAAGGTATAGTTGAGGTTTTTCGGGGGCGTGTTCAGTACCTCCAGCTGAGCTGTTCCCGCTCCCAAACTCTGATTTGGAGTGAAGCCTTTGATTTCCAAAGTAGCGAGTGAGGAGAATCTTCCTTAACACGTTTCCCTACGGGAGGAGAGAAATGAAAAAGATTAAATCCAGATCCGACTCTGAACGTGTCTGTTGTACGCCAGACAGAAACACATGCACGCAGACACACACACACTTTCTCTCTCACTATCTGTGTGCAACAGAGAAAAACTAAATTCTCCATACAGCGGGGTTCGCTCAGGTAACATTGTTTTTACTTCCCATCAACACTCGGAGACACCAAAGAAAAACACATTTTCCATGCATTCTTTTTCAGTCACGACACAAAGGTTGCATCTCAAAATGACACCTGTTTACCAGGGCCCATAAGGAAATAGGGTGCCATTTGGAACACAGTCATATATATTCATAGTCTTTCTATTTTTATTAAATGGAATCTTTTGCAAAATATATAGAATTATAAAACCATATAGACCATTTTGAGTGTCTCCATGAGGGTGCAGTCCAATTGTCGTGGTCCGAGGGGCCTTGGCTATTCTAGTAAGTCTATTTCTATGGCTTTTACATCTGGTGAGACGAGATGTCACCCGTTGTTGGCCTTTTCACGTTACACAACTCTGTGGTACATCCTACACATATTCAGTACACTGTGGCTATAGGGTGCCAATACTCAGCTAATGGGGTCATATAATAAGACAACGTCACAAGGGAGATCGTTACATAAGCAACATGGATTGATGTAATTGTTAAAATTACATTCTGAGAAGAAGCGACTCCTTCCACAGAGACAGAGAGAGACAGAGTGGGAGACCGAGAGAGAGAGAGTGGGAGACCGAGAGAGAGAGAGTGGGAGACCGAGAGAGAGAGAGAGTGGGAGACCGAGAGAGAGAGAGAGAGAGGGAGACCGAGAGAGAGAGAGAGAGGGAGACCGAGAGAGAGAGAGACACCGAGAAAGAGAGAGACAGAGACAGAGAGAGAGAGGCAGAGAGAGCGAGAGAGACCGAGAGAGAGACCGAGAGAGAGACCGAGAGAGAGACCGAGAGAGAGACCAAGACCGAAGAGAGCGAGAGAGAAAGACCGAGAGAGAGAGAGAGAGAGAGAGCGATGAGATAGAGTATAGAGAGCCGAGGAGAGAGAGGAGAGATAGACCCGAGAGAGAGAGAGCCACGAGAGAGACCGAGAGAGAGAGAGAAGAGAGACACCGAGAAGAGAGCCCGAGAGAGAGAGCCGATAGAGAGAGACCGAGAGAGAGAACGAGAGAGAAGACCGGATAGGAGAACCGAGAAGAGAGAGACCGAGAGAGAGAGGAGACCGGAGAGAGAGATTAGAGAGAGACGCGAGAGAGAGAGAGGCGACAGAGACAGAGAGACCGGGAGAGAGAGAGAGACCGATAGCGACCGAGAGAGACCGAGACGAGACCGAGCAGAAAGAGAGGAGAGACCGAGAGAGAGAAAGAGAGAGAGTGGGAGACCGAGAGAGAGAGAGGGAAAGAAAGAAAGGAAAGAGAGGAAAGAAGGAAATTGAAGCGGAGCTGAAGGTACGGTACACTAGCTACTGATCCTGTGCTTCCCGTGGGAGAATGTGTTACATAACGCCTGGTGGTTGCTGGCTTGGAAATGACAAGGGAAGGCAAACAGAGAGAGTGGGGATGTTCTCTCTTTTTCTCTTCCTCTAGTCTGCCTCGCTGGGGAGAGACGCCCCCACTCGTGACCTTCGCCCTCTCTAGTGCGAGCCACTGAAATAACGACCCCCTCTCTCTGATTGCGCAATACAGTATGTGTGTGACTGAAGTATAAACCAGTCCTGCAGGTAGAATACTTGTAAGCTCCAGATTCCCGCTCCCTTTTTTACCCCCAATATGTATTGGGAGGGTACAGCAAAGGAGGGATTGATAAAGGGAGGGAGGGAGCGATGAACTGACACAGGGGTCAACCCATTTCCATGGCAACCGCCACAGAGGGCCACGTCATGACAAACGACAGATCCTTTCTCGCATGGGATACCACAGAGGGGAAAAACGGACAGAGTGCACACCAAAAACACAACAGGATCCATTGGAGTTCCAAAGAAAAGTGAAGTTGAGCTGAAGCCCTTCAAATAAGTATCCTGAGGAGAGGCACGGAGAGGAAAGGAGCAGCCTTCTGGTGGAAAGAGAGCACGTGCAGCTGATGTTCCCTGTCTCAGTAAACACTAACTCATCTGCAGTCAGCAGAGACAGCCGTCTACCTGCACCATCTGGCTAAGAGCTGAGCTGAGCCCTCACACACGCACACACACACACACACCACACACACCGGCTTGTGCACAAGTGCAGGCACGCACACACACGCGTGAGCACACAGGCTCTCACACAAATACGCGCACACACACACCCTTCATGGACTGCAGGTGATGATTCAGTGAGCCAACTCGGCTCATTCCCACTCAATCAGACATTTATACATATATGCACAGAGTGCAAACTAACACGCCAAGCTGTGTTTTAAGGTAACTCAACAGCAATTAGTTTAATTTTTGATTGATTGATTTCCCTTTTTCTAAAAAGGCGATGTCGGTCTCTCGCCACTCTCGCTCACATCCTAAAAGAGAGGGATAGTGCAGCCGGGCTCCCCCTGTCTCTCTCCCTAGCTGCCTCCCCCTCGGGTGATGTGGTCTGCTGGCCAGCTCTGCAGAGGGACGAGGATAGAGAGAGAGCGCGAAAGAGAGAGAGCGAGTTGTGCCAGCCTGACTTATTGGTCTGCTGCTGCATGGAGTCTGAAAAATTCCAGTCAGGTGATGTGAGGACAGAGCTAGAGAGGGGGAGCGAGAGAGAGGGAGAGAGAGAGAGGGAGAGAAAGAGCGAGCGAGAGAGAGGGAGAGAGAAAGAGCGAGAGAAAGAGCGAGCGAGAGAGGAAGATCTAGCTGTGTGGGCTTTTAAAACGTGCGCAGGCACGCCACACTGCGGATCTGGTTGTCCGAGGTGAGGCTGTGCAGTTCGGGCTGAGCTCCCCTCTCCTCCATGCATGTTTGGGAGGTCTCACCACTCAGGCAGGAGGCTGAGAGTAGAGCCCCAGCCCAGACAGACACAAAGAACCAGGCACTCAGGGGAAGCTAGTGAAAGCTAAGCCTATCAACAGAGCACACTCCCTGGGTCAGACCACGGTCAATTACAGGTGGTACTACTGGGGCCAGCTGGGGAGGGTAAAGTTAGAGAATTTTGGAATAAAACATTGGCTGAAAAGTTTCCAATCTGAGTTCTTGTTTGTGGGAAGTGTGAAAGTCTCACCACAACAGACACTTGAAGTCTCGCCGGCCAGGGCCTGTATTCATAAAGCGTCTCAGAGTAGGACTGCTGACCCAGGATCAGTTTTGCCTTTTAAATAATAATGAATTATATGTGGGACCTTATCCTATACTGAATAAAAACATAAATGCAACATGTAATGTGTTGGTCCAATGTTTCTTGAGCTGAAATAAAAGATCCCAGAAATGTTCCACACAATAAAAGGCCACTAAAATGTGC